AAACCAAGTACCCAAGTAACTAATTACCCCAAGTCGGAGAGCCTGTACATGGCAGAGCCAAAGCCAAACCACAACACCTGTGACAGAGACTGCAGTCACTCCCATATTATCATACTACCGTTGGAATCAACTTGCGAATGTCTAATGTAATAACTTGGAAGTTAAGGGAATTTGGAACGTCTTATCTCTTGTCATCAAACATTCACTGAGGACAGGGTCATTTAGCTCGCATCTTTTTCTGAAAACAAAAGTAAATTTAAAAATAAATCATCTGTGAAAGCTGACTAAATTCCAAGTCCTCCAAGTTCTGCACAAAGTACAAGCCTGGGCCATATAAAGTCCACCCTGCTCAAGGAAAAATAACAGAGCACCGCCCTGTCCTGTCAAAGGGACTGGGAAACCGGATGCGACCGGTCCGCAGATTCAGCCCCACACTTCGCAGGCTTTCAAGGATGAATTAAATTATTTTAGAATGACTCTTGTTTTTTGAAAACCTCATAAATGCTACTTCAGTGACTGCCAGACTAGCTTTTGAACATTTATTTTTGCCATTTTGCTAAACTAGGAGGCTGTCAAATGAGAAAAACTAGGTATGTTTCCTTCTATTTTATTCTCAGCCTTTGTATATTTCTAATTACACAGTGACTCAGTGACTAAGCAGCTTTAAAATAGATTTCATCACCCCTCACACTCAGCATTTCCACATCAGCCTCCCTGCCCCGTGATCAAAGAACCTTACATGAACGTCATCGGGAAAAGTTCCGAACCTGCTTCTGCCTGTTTGGATTTCTGTTCGTCCACCAAGGATTTACTAAGCTCTCACTACGTGGATGCTGGGAGATCCAGTGGTGATGACATATATCCCTAGGAGTGATCTCGCGGGAAAAGCGGGACACGTTACCGAGATCACAGGTCTTGGTAAGTGCCACGAGAGGAACACCCCAGTGTTCTACAGGACCCCCCCAAGGGGCACGTCAACCGCTCTGGGAGGGCAACACTGATCATCTCACCCTGAGGGTGGCATCAGGGAGACCCTGGGCCATTAGCACAGGCACCGCGTGTGCAAAGGTCGCGAGGCGGGAGGTGCACTGGAGTGTCTAACATAAGCGAGGACCCTCCGGCGCCCCACAGCCTGATGGTCTCCAGGAATGGGCCACGGTCCTGACCCGGTCAAGCATGCTGGCTACCCACTCGTCCGTGGCCACCCTGAACGGGCCGCGCCTGCTCCCCTGGGTAAGCTCCATGAGCTGCCGTGCTGGAGGGGACACTTTCTTGTGTCTTTCCCTGCCCCCTGTGCATGAACAGAGGAATGAGGTGGGAGAGGGAATACGGATTGTAGAGCCATGGTGCCACACTAGGGAGGGGCATGTTCCAGAACAACCCCTCAGGCAGCAGCATGGATCACAGAGGAAGACCAGAGAGGCGCACTGAGGCCAGAGAGAAGTGGGCTGGACTTGAGACCGGGGACAGGCAAGTAGCAGGCTCGGGAGCAGCAGGCTCGCTTCCATATGCGTCACTTGAGGTGCCTGTGGACATACCCACCCGGGCTCAGGAGGGGTCCTCAGGTGCACATACCACTGGAGCCAGAGAGAAGAAATCACCCAGGAAGCATGGAGAAGCGAGGGAGAATTTCTAGACACAAGGGGTCTGGGAGGGTCAGACTCTAGCAGAGGCACCGCCCCCTGCCCTGAGGCCCACCTCCCGTGGCCCCGCCTCCTGCCTCACCCAGGCCTGCAGGTCTCCACCTGGTCGGTCCGCCTCAGGCTCTGCTCACCCCTCCAGCCTGTGGCGGGAGCCAAGAAGCTATACCAAGTGCTCACAAAGCACGAACTCTATGTCACTCGGTGACTTGGGAGGAGGCGAAGATTTTTTTATGTTAGACGCTGCAAAATTACAAAGAACAAAAACCTTCGTTTTATAAAAAGATGACAAGATTTCAGGGACATTGTGTGCTTTCATGCCTCCTCAGGCTCTGCATTCTCACAAGAAATAAAGCAGCCTTCCTACCTGCAACCTGAATTACACAGCGGCCATTCTCTGCGCTCATTATGTCTCACCTTTGGTGACAAGTATCCCGGTTCTTTAAAAAACCAAAAACCAGCCCTCCTATTAAATACAGTACGAGTTACCCTCCCTAATTCAAATCCTGAGTCTTACAGTCAACTCAGTTTTGACAAAGGAGCCAAGAACATGCAATGTGGAATAAATGGTGCCGGGGAGACTGGCTCTCAGCACTCACACATGAAAAATTGGACCCTACCTTGCATCCATATGTGAGTATCAACTCCAAATGGATTAAAGACTTAAACAGAAGACCTGAAACTGTTCAACTCCTAGAAGAAAACAAAGGCGAAACATTTTCTGACATGCCTTGGCAATGAAGTTTTGTATTTGACACCAACAGCAAAAATAAACTGGGACTAAGTCAAATTAAAACCTCTGCAGCAGCAAAGGAAACCATCAATAAAATGAAAAGACAACCTACAGGAGAAAATAGTTGCAAACATGTATCTGACAGGGGGTTAATATCCAAAAAATGTAAGAAACTCATACAACTGGATAGCAAAAACATAACCCAATTTTAAAATGGGCAAATGACCTGCATACATTTTTCCCGAGACATACAGATGGCCAGCATGCGTATGAAAAGGTGCTCAACGTCAGTAATCATCAGGGAAATGAAATCAAAACCACAAGCAAAGCAAATCAAAACCACACCACCACCTCACACCTGCCAGAATGGTTGGTATCAAAAAGTCAAAAGCTGGCGAGGACATGGAGAAAAGGGAACGCTCCCGCCCTGTGGCATGAGTGTCGGTCGGTGCTGCCAGCATGGAAAACAGTATGGAGGTCCCTCGAAAAGTTAAAAACAGAACTGCCTGCCTTGTGACCCCGCGATCCCACTTCTGGGTGTACGTCTGGAGGATGAAAGCCCCGTCTCGGAGGCATCTGCACTGCGGGCGAACACACACACAACCGGGATTTGCACACGCAAGGGCACAGCTGGCCTTAAAAACGGAGGCACCTCCACAGCCAACGTGAATGAACCTGTAGGACGTGTTAAGTGAAATAAGCCAGACAGAAAGGCAAATACCGCATCTCACATGCTGAACCTAAAAGAATCAAATTCACAGAAAGAGTAGAATGGTGGTTACCAAGAGCTGGAGGCGGAGGACACGAGGAGACGGCGGTCAAAGGGCACGGGCTTCCAGGTGTGCGCACGTTACGGTGGTCTCACGTAGGGCACAGGGGCCGCGGTTCATGATGCATTTATTGCACACTCGAGATCTGTAGATCCCAAGTATTCCCACCCCACACACCAAGAAGGTAACTCGAGGTGATAGGTGTTAATCAGCTTGAAGGTGGTAATCATTTCACAATGCATATGTACATCAAAACATCACCTGAGCATCTTAAACACACGTAATTTTTATTAGTGAATCGTACCTCCATAAAGCTGGGTGGGGGCCCTGGATCTTCCCTGGGCAGGTTTCTCAGGCTGGGCCACACCTCCTGGAGCTCAGCCACGTTCTTGCCTCGTCTGCGTGGGCCTAGAGCTGCCCGTGCCCAGAGCCACTCTTCTTCCCAGTGGGGCTCTGTACTTGCTGCTGGAGTCCTGCTTACGAGTGGGAACTGCAGTGGAAGCTGTTGAAACCACTGCACGCTCTCTAGGAATGGGATATTGAAACAACCAGTTTTAAAGAGAAATCATTCTCTGCTAGGACCACAATGTTGTCCTCAGATGGGGAACAGGGTGAGCACTCTCTCTGGGGACTGCTCTTGTGTGTTGCTCTGAGTAAACTGAGACAAGCTCTGGTGTGAGACCTTCACAGGTGCCCCCTACCAGGGAGCAAACCTAGGCAGCTCAGTTCAGTCCGTCCACTCCCATGCGCAGGGCTGCACGGCCCCTGATCCCAGTGCCGGGGGTCCAGTTCTCCCTGAACTTGCACACGTGCCGGCACCTGACACAGGGAGACACTGTTCACCACCAGGTGCCAGGACAAGCTCCAGTGGAACCGCAGCCTCTTCTCCATTTCTCTCCCTCCAGCCCCCAACCCCTAGCTTAGTTGTTAGCATATCAAAGTATTTGACACCCTTATCACTATCACTGGAAATTAAATAGGATTTAGAGCCCTCACTATGCCTCCCGGGCTGTTTGCAGAACACAGCTGTAGCCTTTAAAAGGCAGAAGGAAAAAAATATATATATATCCACACGGACAAAAAGTGTTCTAGAAACCCTGTACCTAAAAGGGGAAAAATCCATTTGATTTGCCCCAAAACACAAAAGTGCAATAAAAATTTTAAAAACTCACTATTAAATACTTAGGGAAAGTGATTCCTGCGTAAGCAACGTCATGCCTCGCTGGCGGCTACCTCGGGAGCAGCTTTCCTCAAGTGCATTTAAATGGACTGGCCTCCCTTGACCATCAAGCCTGAGGGTCATGTCTTCGTGCTCAGATCGCGCCCAGGCGAGTGCCGGCTGTTCCCGCGGGCCGACTTTCCCATCACCGCCTTTTCAGAGCGCTGAAGCACGTACACTGTGACCGCGACACAGCTGGCACTGACAGGGACGTCCTGCCACATTTTCCACATCACTGCTGAGCGTCACTGTCTGCGTCACATTCACGGCGTAACCCCAGACCAGCAGCACCATCAAACCCTGGGACGCTGACAGGCGAGCTGAAGGGCCCCGCTGCTCCTGGCCCAGGCTGAGCACCCAGCAGCCTGCTTCTGCCGGCCCTCCAGGTGCTTCTGGCCCACGCTGCCCTTGGAAAGCCACCCCGACATCGAGTGCTCGCCTGCCTGACATTCAAGCCAGGGTTCTGAGCCTGAATCTGTCAACCCCCTGAGTCAAAGGCAAATGCGCACATTCCTGGGGAGAAACTGCACAGCTGTCAACATCCTCAAAGGGATGCTGTAACCTAGACGCACTTAGGTACCACGACTTTGAGTCGCCCAATTCAGAATTCACTTCTGCAAATAAACACCAAGCCAATATTTTCTCCAAGCCCTTTAATAGTCACTTAAACAGTTGAGGCACAAGCAATGATAAAACTGCATTTATGTTACTAGAAAGAAAATTTTGTATGATACCTGCATGATATACCAATTATCTCATAATCTCTTCTGCAATAACATTTCATTAACACACTGTGGTCCACAGATTGATTCAACAGGGTCAGAAAGGCCAATCGATGGCCTGCTTGCCTACTATGCACACTGTACTAAATTTTACATGTTAAGTGTGAACAAAAGTCCTAGTTACCTGTTAATAGAACAGCACTGCTACCACTAGGTAAGCCTGTATAAATGCTCTTTCCCTTTAAGTATAAATCACGGAACCAAACAATAGATCTCTGCCCCAAAAGGCATGCCAATATGCACTTACTATTTCCATTTCCAAAGATTTTAAGTGTGCCACACGAGCGCGTGGGAACACTCGAGCGGTTACCTCCCTGCTCCCATCCGGGGCTGAGCACCGTTTGGCCAGCAACAGCATGACTGCCTGGTTCCAGGAAACTGTTTGGCAATCAGGTGCCAGGGGGTAATTTTTTTCTTTTAACCTAACACAGCTGGCTTTCAGAAGTGGTACCTATTTTTAAAGCACCAGAGCTTTAAATGAGAAAATGCACTTGGCTGAGTCAGCTCTACAATGAAGACACCACCGCCTCCTCAGCAAGCCCTGCATCAAAAAACGCGTCTTTGCCTGAACGCGGGGCGTTCCCACTCTCCGGGGCCCAGTCTTCACACCCTCCCAAACCCAAGGAGCGCCCCTGCCCTCCCGCCAGCCAGTCCCCAAGGTTTCCGGGCCTGCTCTCTCGCTCCCCGCGCCCCCCAACCTGTGTTCCCTCTGGCCCCACGCGCATTCTTCTCTTCTCTTGGGTGGCCACTGTTCTGAACACTCTTGTTCGGGCGGGTGCAGGATAGAAGGCTGTTTCCACTCGCTGACCAATGACCACTATCCTGCTGCGGATTAGGGAATCCTATTAGTAAAAGTGACTAACCAGCATGTGTGTACTGGTCACCCCAAAAAGCATGCTAGCTGTAATCAAAAAAGTACTGTTTACAGGTTCAGGATCACAAGTCTGCTAAGTACCTGGGGAAGAGTCATTAAATGTGTGAGTCACCTAGTCCTAATTGTATAGATGAGAATAACCGAAGTTCAGGGATGCAGCAGGACTTGTCCAAGGCTGGGGTGGCTCTCCAAAGACAGACACTAAAACCACACCCCAAACTCTGTGCACTACACCACAGCCCCCGCAAAGCCCAAGCTCTCTCCAGAGGTCGTCAGAACAGCAGCAGAGATGCTATTCAGTCCAACAGCCCATTATTCGCGCCAAAGACCCCTATCCTCAGGTCTGATGGTGAATCTGTGATTGCAGATAATGTCACTATCTTGCGAAGAAGAGGTTCCATTACCTCCGGTCTTTGCCACTTCTCCAGCCACAGGCTATACCTTATTCTTGTCATGTAACAAGACAGATGAATCAGGTTAAAGGATTACAGAGTTGCATTAAGATAAAAGCAAAGAAATATTTTTACAAGCATTATCATCTCAGTTACCTTAAAGTTTAAGTTTCAGATTAATTTACAAGAATAGGGACAGAACCACATGATTCCAGTGAAAAACAACACATTGTTAATACCTTAAAAAAATATCTTTGGAAATACTAAGCCAGGCAAGCATGCAAAATTTAGAAATAAAAAAATGCAAGGCCTGATTGCCCCTCAGAAGGAGGATGGATTTCCTGACGCTGGAACTCAACCAAATGACTTGGGAGCTGAAAGGGACGCTTCTCCGAATCAGCAGACCAACTCCCTCACCCCCTGAGTGAGGAAAGAGGGCAGGCCTCAGTCACTGGAGAAGCTCAACAGCCACATCAGGGGCACGCACAGATCTAGATCCCAGTGCTATCTGCAACTACACGCATCTAGAACACCAGGAGATAAACATCCAGAGCACAGCAAGCCACTGACTTGAACAAAGCGTTCCCAGACTGATCGCAGGGTTGCGAAGGTGTTAACGCAGCACAGCGGCACTTCTCACATATGTAAGAGATCAAATGCAAAGCAATGATAGCAAAGATTTCAATACCCAATTTTGATAAACACAATCATGTTTCCATCCAATTTTCTCATGTGCGGCAAAATGTGCTAGTTTAAAAAAAACGTGCATTCTTCAGCCTTCCCCTACTTTTCTTTTTTTTGCCTTTCAAAACTGAGCGCTGGATATTTCTGATGTACACAGTATATGTACAATTACACATTTTAGGAATGAACAAAATCCATGATATTTCAGTAACTCATAGTGTATTTATAAAATGAAAAGCTCTCTATCAAAATACACTCTTCACTGGGAAAAATAAATAAAAGACAAATGAGATCTACACAAAGTAAAAATTAACTTTGGTAGATTTAGTGTAGGACAGTCCATACCAAGTACAGTGCCCTTATTCCCCCAGAGCTGCTCATCTTCCAAAATAAGATTTTAAAAACATTTTTAATTGAGATTGTTATGCTGACATTTGTTTCTCATTCCACATCATCTTCGGCCAAGCTCTGGGCACTTACAATTCTCTGAAAGAAGAAAAAAAATGTTTAACTCTTACAAACTATTAAGGATTTAATCAGGTTTCTAAGCTCAACAAAAAATGCCCTTTGTTAAAAGAAAAAAGAAACGCCTTTTGTATTCAAAGAAGTAAATCTTGCTAAAGTTTGCCCATTCTGAGACTTATTCCAACATTAAATACTTTATACATTATCATCTAAGAAAGTAAAGACCATACTGTCAGTCTCATTTCAAAATTCAAATGATTAAAGGAGGCATATACCATTTTATTGCGCTACATGTTAGCCAATTACATAACTGAAACGAAAATGAATTCAAATCTCTTTTTATTCCTACGTAAACTAAAAATACTGATGAGTGCTAAGAATACTGATCATTCCATGCTCCAAATATTTCCCTTTTTGTCCTGGATATGTTCCAAATCATTATATGAAGAAAGAACACAGTATTCTCAAATTAGTACTTTGAAAACATTTCCAGATAACATGAGACAAGTTAGCTGAGTAAAAAAGGTCATCTTCATAGAGAGGAGTTAAGGCTTCATCCTAAATTCATCCACATTCCAAGACATCACATCACCCTCAGGTCAATTTTCCGCAAGCTCTAGACTATGCTGCTTTTCAAAGTGCAAATAAGTTAAATAAAGGGTTCTGATACAGGCTGGGAGCCATACCAGTTAAGACAAACAGGACTAAGACCGAGTCCTTGGTTTTTCAACCCTTTGCCGTAATTAAACTCTGGGATCTGTCTTTTCTTTCGTCCCTTTTCAATTTAGTGGAGTAAAAATCATTCTGAAAAATTACCCAGTCATTTCAATAATTTTTAATCACACCAAATGTGGAAATTAAAACATCTAACAGATAATGCCCTTCCAACAAGTAGAGTCACTTGGGCTCCTTGGAAAGGATTAAAAACGAACAGCATGCCCTTTACTAAACTCTTAAGTCGTGAGTCAGTGTACACAAAGGGCATGACATTTTGCCCTATTCAGTAGGGATGTGGGGATGCAGTCAAATAATTCTGAACTCAAAGCCCACGCTGGCAGAAGCGAGGCATGGGGGCCTTCAGGCAAGGGGGTCAGAAGAGGCCCAGGGCCCCTCAGGACCTCACTGCCAGGCTCCGCCGTCCTGACCCCTCCGTCACGCCACAGGCCTGGATGCTCGGTCACACAGGGAGGGGGCAGAGCACTTGTTCCAGAAAGGAGTTGAGACTGGCCTAAATTTTGGGATTTGAACACTACAGCCTGGGGCTTAACTCTAAGAGATACACTTCCTGATCCAAGTCTCTGCGCACAACCTACTGGATCTTATTCTCAGTCATTTAGATGTTTTTCCATTAGGGAAGAAAAGTCCAAACTCAATTATCTATCTCCAGTACTATTTTCATTATATGGATGAGTTTCATGATTCCACCATTTCACCAGGCTCATTTTAAAACGCTAATGTCCCTACACATTTAATTCTCAGATTCTACTTCTATTCCATAACATCTCAAATCCTTACCTGACTAATTGTTGGGAGCTTAGTCAGAAGCATCTGGAACACCGGCGGCGGCAGAGTTTGCTGCAACACTTGCAGTAACTGCTGGGGCTGGCCACACACCGCGATTGCGTTGGTCAGGTGGTCTACACCCTTCTCATATTCACCTGGAAGAGTTACATGGAAATAACACATGACCTGGAAAGCCTCGGCCTTTGTCAAGGATTCAACCCTCAAGTCTTCACTGTATCTCTAAGTGATACCAACCAAAAACATCATGCAAGTAAAAATCTGGAAACAATCGACAATACATTCATATGACTGAACATTATGAATCCATTAACAAAGAGGAGTCAGATTATACGCACTGATATGAAGTTTCTCCAATACACATACAGAAGGGGGAAAATTAAGGGGCAGGAACGTCCACATATATTCCTATTTATATAGTCAGAATATTTCTGAAAGGTTACATAAGAAATTGCTAACAATGGAACAGCACCCTTCTACGAGAACGACAACAGGAAGATTGGGGACTGAGGCAGAAAGAGAGCCAACTTCATTTTAAACTAATCCCTTGTATTATATCACTACATGCAAGTTCAAAAAAATTTTTTAAGTGATGCTATAAGCAAAAAGAATTGGCAGGAAGAAGTAGGTAAAAAAACAGTGATTATCTTGGAGTAGTAGATTTTACTTTCTTTTTATTTACCTACAAATTTCCTGCAATAGTTGTACTACTCTGAAAAAAAAAATTGAAAATTTGCATGAATTGAAGGAAAAAAAAAGTATATCAGGTTTATAGTTTTTGAAGGTTTGCCTAACTAAGTACCTACTTAGGTGGCCCTTGTCCTCAGTTAATTCCATTTGAAATCAAACTCCAAAGATTGTCCCAAATTCTCAGAGCAAATGAGTTTTGCACTATTATATTTGGTTTCAAATTAAGTATTCTACAAAGAACTTTTCTACACAGAGAATCCTTTTAATGTACCTTATTAAAAATCCTCTATTAGAAATCATTTTTATTAAGACTTTTAAAGCAGTTCAAGGTTCATGATAAAAATAAAAAGAAACTACAGAGATTTCTTTAACAAACAAACAAACAAACAAAAACACCGCCGCCGCCACGCCCCCCCCGCCCCCCTCCCCCGCCCCAGCTTTGGTGGACTGAGTGCCTGCAGGTGAAGCAAAAGGTTGCCAATTCGATTCCGGTCAGGGCCTGTGCCTGGGTTGCAGACAGGTCCCCAGATAGGGGCATGCGAGAGGCAACCAACCAGTTTCTCTAACACATTGATGTCTCTCTCTCCCCCTCTCTTCCCCTATCTCTAAAAATAAATAAAACCTTTAAAAAAATTTTTAAAACCAGAACTCAGCTAAGGAACACTGAAAATAAAATTAGAACTTGGGTCGTCTGCACGGGCTTACACGGCCATCAAGGGACTCAGCAATGGCTCCACTGACTCGAAAATTAAGGTGCCACTTGGCCAGGGAGCACTCATGTCAGCCTCTGAATTTGCAGACAACGAGGGGGCTGCGTGGTTTCCTGGGGGTGATAACTAAGCGGTGACAGTATAATTAGACATCGTGATGAGCACGAAGGACAAAATTTACTTGAAAATTTGTTTGCATGAACTGATATACCACATTCCATATCTTTAGACGCAGATATGAAACGGCAATAGCTACTGGAGTGGTAGGTGTGGAACACAGGGGACTTCAAAACACTGCAAAGGTTGCGAACAACCACAGCAACTCAGTGTAGGTGAAACCATTTCCTCTCTGCACTTGCAACTTGAGCCCAGTCACACATCCTAAGATGAGATCAGTTCATGGAATACACTGAGGGAAGATGCTGGGATGAAGGAGAACTTGTCAAGCAATAACTTTACTGTCCAAATTGCTTATGCTTCTACCTGGCTTCCTTTGATACTGATCTTTAATCTAATTCTCACCATCTGAGTCTTCTACCTCTGATTGGCTTGGTAGTTTTCACAAAAAGCAAGCAAGCTTGGCAGCTGAGTTAAGTAATTCTCTGGGTGTGCTGGGCTGAAATGTAGAACTGAACTTGGAAAAAAGACCAACTGTTCCCTGTCCCTCCTTAACTTGCCCCATCACCCTGGGTCACTGTCCTTGACTTCGATCTAACAGCTCAAATCAGAGAGGAAGATGGCAGCAGTGCATGAATCTCTGCGACGATCCAAATATAAGTAATAGGGAGTATGCTGTATTCTAATACCTTCATACTAGTTAATTTAAAATAATGTTTGTATTTTGGGGGGGTTAGAAGAAAATTTTGATAGTATAGACATCTTTATGGCATGAAGAACATTTACATAAACTGGAATATTACAATTCTTAAACACAGATATCAATCATTACACATGCAGAATTTTCTTTTCAGATATTAAAGTAATTAGAACTGCCCTGACTGGTGTGGCTCAATTCGTTGGGCATCATCCCGCAAAGAGAAAGGTTGCCAGTTCAATATTGGGTCAGGGCAGATGCCTGGGTTGTGGATTCAGTCCCCAGTTGGGACACATGCAAGAAGCAACTGATAGATATTTCTCTCTCAATCACACTGTTTCTCACCCTTTCTCCCTCCCTTCCCCTCTCTCTAAAATTAATAAAACCTTTTTTTGAAGTAACAAATTTTTTAAAGTAATATATTGTCTATATCTATTATGATACAGTGATGAGAGTAAGAAAAACTTTGTTTTAAAAAATTCCTCACCCCCAGACATGCTTAGAGAGGGGAAGGGAGGGAGAAAGAGAGGGAGAGAAACATCAGTGTGAGAGAGACATCTACAAGTTGCCCCCTGTACGTATCCAGACTGGGGACTGAACCCATGACCCTTCAGTATATGGGACATGCCCATAAATGTCCAACCAACTGAGCCACACTGGCCAAGGCAAAACTTTACACTTTTTAAGTTAATGATAGCAACTACTTTAAAGCTACTTTTGAGGTAAGAGTCAATTTGACACTAAAAATACTTATAAATACATTTAAGACTAAATTACTGAATTATAGTTCACATTTTTCAATTCAATCATTTCAATTTCATAATAGAAATTTTTTTACCTGTTGTGCAATGACTATATTCTCTAAACTACTAAAAATGGTCCCATTTGTAAAGTTTACTCATTATCTTCTCTATATCAAGTGAACATTAAAACTCACTCCAAATGTATTATGAACAATGATAACCCACGAGAAACATCCATTTCTAGAGCCAGCCTTAAAGAGCATAACCCTCACATTATTAAATGCCTAACAGCCCCTCTAGAGATACAGTCACGCGCTGCCTAACGAGGGCATGCATTCTGAGAAGGATGTCATTCTGCAGCTTCGTCACCCGAGTGCACTTCACACCCACACACCTAGATGGTGCGGCCCACTACACACCTCCTGTGCTACAAGCCTGTGCAGCAGGCTACTGTACTGAGTACTGTAGGCAACTGTAACACAGTGCTAAGAGTGGTGTTTGTGTATCTAAAAATAGAAAGGTATTGGAACGTCATACAACTGGCAGCACAGCAGGTTTTGTAGGGGGAAAACAAAAGCTTAATTACATGTACACCGCCTGCGTGCCTGAGAGATCCAGCAAAGCTGAGAGCCTCACTCAGCTGGCTGAAGCCGCCTCCTTAAATGCCCTCTTCAGCAGAAGATGAAAGATGATGGGGCGGAGGAGTCAGTTATGGGAGGTGACCAGGAAAAGCACAGTAAACAAGGTAAGATTATTACAGACTTCAGTTGTCGTCTCCTGCATGGATGAGTCTCCAGAGATAATGGCACCCCCCTCTTCCCAACACTGGGAGAGAGGCCCCCTGACAAAGGGAGCTTCCTTACAAATAGAAATGTTTTTCACAAGGGGCAACTTGGTTTTCAGAGCTTCTCCCACGCCAGTGCTTCTTAAAATTACCCAGCCTAAAATAATCCTTATGCCGAAGAGACGATCTGGGGTGACAAATCCTGTTCCCTACAGTTTACACCAGGCATGACAACAAACCCGTAAGTAATGCCTTGCTGAAAAATTCCTGTTGCCTAGCGACAGCTACAAAGTTCCCAGGCAACAGGAATTTTTCAGCTCATTTATAATCTTATGGGATCAGTGTTACATATGTAGTCCATCCTTGACCAAAATGTCTTTATATGACAAGTAAGACTATTTATTTACTTATTTTTAGAGAGTGGGGAAGAAAGGAAGGCAGAGAAACATCGACTTGAGAGATAACATCAATTGGTTGCCTCTCGCACACCCCCAGCTGGGGGCCTGGCCCACAACCCAGGCGTGTGCTCTGATCAGGAATCAAACTGGCAACTCTTGGGTTGGCAGGCCAGTGCCCAACCCCCTGAGCCACACCTGCCGGGGCACAAGGCTGTATTTAGCAGAAGTTAGAATAACTTTTTAAGAAAGAGCTGTACTGAAAGGGCCCTCACACCAAAACCAGACCCTGGGAGTTTCTCCTAGTGTTTAGTGTCTGAGGTCACAGCAGGCCTCCTTCACAGCGCCCCGGGGACCACCACACCAGGCTGGACCAGACGGGTCCCAGGGCTGACCCAGGCCGGGGAGCCAACAAACAAGTCCAGCTGACCCCGCGGCAGCCAGAACCCAAACCCGCTGCGGTGGGGCCTTTGTGAGCAGACCCCGCCCTCACGGGCGGTGCTCAGAAGCAAGGATGCAGGCGCCCAGGTCTCGGGCAGCCAACCAGCCCACCTGGGATTCCTTTCTGCTTTCTCTCGCCTACCCCATCCCTGCCCCAGGTGGCTTGGTTCGGAGACTGTCCACTCAAGACTCCCGAGTTAGAATACACAAATATGGATGGTCTCTCCTTCCCCTTCCCTCTAAATTCACTTCTAGTCTTAATTCGGGGAGCCTGACCTGAGCCTCGTCTCCCACCTTGCTCGGCTGCCTGACAGATAAGCCTTATTCTCTGTAGAAGGCCTGTTGCCTCAGAACAATGTTTTCTCTGTGTGCAACGGGCAAGAGAACCACCAAGTTTGGTAACTACACTACACCGATAAAAACCCCTCATCACCATAAGCTTACATCAGTGTGAAGAATTCTACCTAGTTTTCTAGTCTTTTAATAGCTATTAAAGAAAATTACATCAGCCCCATAGCGAGACCTGTGCTAAAAAGCCCATGATACCAAACCTAGATTTACTATCTGATCTAACTGCATTTCCAACTTCTCCCAGAAACATAATCTTAATGAACCAGTCTGGAATTTTCTGGTCAAGAACCAGTCAAATACTCTGTTATATAGGCCCCATGATAAAAATCCTTCCTTTCTCTTCCCCTCAAGAAAAAAATGTCCCCAGTTAATCCTTTCTTTTCTTTCACTAATAGCTCCCATGCCCCACCTTGCTTCCCATAAAAATAGTCCATTTTGTACAACCCCTTGGAAAGAGCGCCCTTCTAGTTGCGGGATGGGATGCTGCCCTCTTCATAAATTGCTTAATAAAGCCACGTAGATATCAAATTTATTTGGCTGAATTTTGGTGTTTTTTCCCCCATGACTATTACCTTGGGCTAGTAACTCTTCACCAAGCTGTATTTCTTCAAGGAAGAATTTCTGAACAGCTTCAGCATCTTTCAGGTCAGGTAACTGTTTGGAAATAGAATATCAATAACTGATAACAAAATTATGTCAGGGGACATAACCAATACACAGAAAATCGTATCACTAAAAATAAAACCAAAAACTGAAATTTACTCTTCAACAGCACTCAAGGATTAGTTTAGTATCTATACTGAAATAAATGTAAGAAAAAAATACTGATTGATCAAACTGGCATTTGAACAGTTCTTAGAAAGCTATGAGTAAAACCTAAAGTAAAAAAGGAATACAAATACATCTACCATAAAATATACACACTGCCATTTTTTGTACCATCATTATCACAGATTTTTATGTAGCTGTAATCAATATATTCTTTTTTTCTAACATTATTTTGTATAGATTTTACATGCATCTAAAAGATTAGTTATTTTTAAATGGCAATAGAGTATATAACTGAAGAATATATAATTGCATAATCATTTGTTGGGCATTTGAGGTACTTTTAATTTTTTGCTATTACAATTATAAGCAGCTTTATTTAAATAAGTTTGCATTTCTGTCTTTTTGTTTTACAGTTTGTTACATATTACCAGACCGATTACAGAAATACTTAATACCACCAGCCATTTGGCTTGTCTTTTTAAAAATGTAAACTTACTATTAAAAACCCTAAAAATGTAAATTTTACTTAAAACCCAAGAGTTCTACTAATATAAGTTTTTGGTTCTTGGATTATATTATATATATTCACACACTCCTATTATCCAACATGGGTGGAAAAATATTTAATTTCTGAAAGTGAAGGCCTCTCTCACTAACTACCGCAACATACAGCAAGAATTTGATCACACCTGAATTCTAAATATATACACTGATAGACATCTTTAATATATTTATTTCCTATACCCTTAAAATGACTACTAGAACCGTAATGAACACATTTCAAAAAGGTATTTTGGACACAACAGAACAAATAAGTGGTTGTCTCCCAGTTATTACTTCACTATTATCACATCCAGGCAGTTTGCTGAACTGATTACCATTGTTTCAAAATAACAAAATGTAACATTTATCCATTTATTTTTTTCCTTGCCTCAACTTGCTTCAAAAAGAACCACTCCTGATCCAGTAGTCCAAGTCCTGGGAATCCAGACAATGGAACTAATTTCAATAAAAAGGAAAGCTACATTCACGGTGATTAACATTTACTTACTTAATTTACTTACACATGTCACAGAACATTTTTTTATCAAGCAGATAAACCTATGTAGTCATTTAAAATAATCATGAACACAGGATCTATGAAAAGAAAAAAATGAATAAAAAGATTTATATCTACATTTTCATATTACAACTAGGTGAAAAAATGTCAAGTGATGAGATTCTGGATCAGTGGGTGTGAATAATCTCATGTAACTTCTGAAGTGAACTGCACGTGGTTCTTCTAAAGAAAAGAAAAAGTATTAAATGTTTTATTTTATTATTTTGAAGCAGCTGAGTGAGGTTTGAGCCTTCTGGTTTAAATGTCTTCTGGAGACTACCATCTTATTGCCCCTTAAAGGTATCTGCAGCTACGGCCAAAAACAGTGGGAGGGAGGGAAATGAAGGCCCGGATGGATAATCTACAACTAAACTCACTAACTCTTCCTAAAAACAGCAAATTATCTTTTAAAATAAAACATCAAGCTATCTTTCTCAAAATATATACCTGAAGTAGAGTTTTAAATAATTATTTCTATGAAGTATATATTTACAGGGTGAGCAAAGTAGGTTTTACAGTTGTTCATGTGGAAAATACAATAATAAATAACATGAGAATAAACTATTTTACCCACTCACAACTGTAAACCTCCTTTGGCCCACCCCTGTACAATTTAAACAAAAAACAGATCAGGTATTACCTTGGAAAGGCCAGCTCTCTCCTTGGCAAGCTTTTGTTTCTTTCTTCCTGTAAGAAATGAAATATTTTCATTTTATCATTAGCAAAAGGAGAATCAAAGTAAGTCCAGATGCTGTGGTAGTCATTCGATCTCTTTCCAAACATTTCTGACTCTCGGGCCCTCAGGCCTCCTTGTGATCAATTTGTCAGGGTCATATGACTAGCTCTGGTCAAGGAGCTTTGGGCAACAGGTCGCCTCTGCGCAGAGGCTTTCCTTCACCCCGGCACCAGGATCAGCCATTTACGAGACGGAGACAGCTCTAACAGCCAGGCCTCCTCAGTAAGTTACTAGCAGAGCAAGCCCTCCCTCCCAACCGACCCAGGACATGAAACCCGAGCAAGAAATTAAGTCTCCACTGTTAGGAGTTTCATCATCAAAATATAACAGATTCTATTTACTGAATGTTGAACACTGACTGGCATTCTTAAATGGGGGAGGGGGGGAATCAGCATTTGAGAAAGCTTTTTTTTAAAATTTATTGAATTTTTTTTTTTTGAGAGAGAGGAAAGGAGAATCATTCACTTGCTGTTCCACTTATTTATACATTCCTATATGTTTCCTAATGAGGGATCAAACCAGCAACCTTGACAGTATCGGGATGATGCTCTAACCAACTGATCTACCCAACCAGAGTGAGAAAGTTTTTGAAAGAAAGATGGAAAGGTAGGTGGGTGGGTGGATGGAAGGAAGCGGGGGCAGGAAGGGAGGGAGGAATAGCTATGGCTGGGTGTGGATCAATGGACTGACTACCGGCTGAGAACTGAAAGGTCGCTGGGTTCAATTCCCAGTCAGGGCACATGCCTGGGTTGCAGGCTGGGTCCCCAGGAGGGGGCATGTGAGAGGCAACCACACATTGCTATTTCTCTCACTCTCTTTCTCCCTCCCTTCCCGTTTCTCTAAAGATAATTAAAAAAAAAAAAAAAAAAAAACAAACCCGAAAGAAATGTAGTGTTTATGCATTTGACAAAACCGCTAAATTTCTAATTCAACTACTGCTGGCTAATTGAGGAAAAACAAACCCCTGCCTATAGTCTCTAAGGTGTTTTTATTTTTTTTAGGGAGGGGGTCTTGTTTTGCTATGAAACAGCAACATTACATCTCAGGAGTAAGAGATGTTTATAATCTTAATAGTCTCTTAGTCAACCCTGAAAACCAAATGACAGAGCACTAACAGTATTTAAACTGCCAGTTAACTGTACACCTCACATGAAGCTCCTGGCACAGAGGACGCACAAGCCTTGTTCATGTGCCAGCTCTTCCACTCAGTGGCAGTGGCACCTTGGGCAAGTCACAGAAACCTGGTCGTACTAAAACTGGTCTAAGAACAGTACCTGTGTTAGTGCTATGAGGATAAAATGAGTTAATGTGTGTAAAGTGTTTTTTAACAGTGCCTGGTTTATAACATGCCATACAAGCATTTGTTATTGATAGAGTTCAATACTAATTCCTCAGCTGAAAATTACCAGTGACATGGAGAATAACCACGTGGCATTGCTAAGAGAGGTATGGCTCCAGTACTTATTACTTGGATGCCCTCAGGCAAATACATCTCTGCTTTCCAAAGACAAGCCTCCCTTAACTTTACCACTGGGACAAACAAAGCCATAAAAAAACAAGCAAACGTCCTCCACAAATCCCAGTCCCAATGCATGAAGGAAGAGGCAGTGTGACCAGTCTGCGTCTTATTTTACTATGGTCAGGGAGCCTTCCTTTCTTACCTAACCTTGCAAACCGGCTTTAACCACACCAGCATCTCTGGCTGACCCTCGCCCCCGTAAAAGTGTTACTATTATAAGGTTTAATACAATTTTTACAGTTTCAACAGAAAATACAGGCTGAAGTTGATACTGCACATTGATTTGAAGGCTTCCTATTTTTCCTAGGTGTTCATCCCTGAGCAGCTACCTGTGGGGAAGAGAGCATGTAGCGCATTCTGCCCCCGACTTGCTGAAGAGCCTTCTCTGGCCCTCTTCAGGCAGAACACAATGAGCGAGCGACGCCAGGCTGCGCGAAGCCGCGGCTGGCGCTGCGAGCAGAGCGCCAAGGCTGGAAGAGCGGTGGAGGCTGCCAGGAAGACCAGGAGCAGCGAGTCGTTAAGGTATAAGCGGCTTGGTGAGTTTTAGATACTACATGCCAGGACACTATTCTAAATGATATTAATTAGCTTATTTAATCCTCACAGTAACATGAAAACCTGTGCTATTATCACCCCCACTTTAGAGATGAGAACACTGACCGAGGTCACAGCTGGTAAGAGGTGCCTTGGCTGCTCAGACTGAGGCAGCTGCGTTTCACAGCACGTGTACTCCCACGTCACCCTGCGCTGCCTTTAAACGCTGCGAAAGTGAAGACGTTCTCATCAAAGTAAAAGGCACCTTAGAAATGAACATGGCAAGTTCATGGAATAAACACAGAAATACCAAAGCTAGAATGTATGTAAAATGATAAAACTGGAAACAAAACCCTGTAGAGAGAAACAGTTTCCATTACTATCCACTTTTTTAACTGCTCTGTTAAGGGGCAGACAGGAGTGTGCTGTTGTTGCTGAATGTTGGATACAATTACCAACTTTAAAGATTGCTCAATTGCTTTAAATTTCTAGCAGTAAGATTACAATTCTGGCTTTAGTTTCATAAAACAACTTGTTACATTAACTTATTTCAGAATATAGTATCTCTATGATAAAGGCAGAGAGGATAACAGATTGGCAAACCAATCAGCAAAATCAGGCCTTGACTCAGTATTGACTATAAGTCCCAAGTGCTACTGTGTAAACCTAACAATTAAAACCTTCTGCTTTGGATTGAGCACCAGCCTGGAAGCCTGCAAACCAAAAGGTCGCTGGTAGATTTGCCCTCAGGGCACACGCCTGGGTTGCAGGCCAGATCCCCAGTTTGGGGCATGCGAGAGGCAGCCAATAGATAGTATCTCTCACCCACTGATGTTTCTCTCTACCTCTCTCCTTCCTTTCCCCTCTCTAAAAATAATCTTTAAAAAATAAAATAAAAAATACACAAAAAATCTAAGCTTACAAAAGTCCCAAATCTAAGCCATTCTAGTAGCATTCATTTAAATAAGATTACTTAATATATTTTAAAATGATGAATCACTTTATACAGTATTGTATAAGTAAAAACACACCTGTAGTTAGCTTTATAATTTGGAAGTCAATTTCCACTTATTAATGATTAATTGAGTTAATAGAAATTATGCTGTAACAGGCCTCATAACCTGCTCTTGCTAATGAAAGACAAAAAACCTACATAAATTAGAACCCTGGTCTAATTTTTAAACTTAAGCCTATTTCCCTTAAAGAGAGAGAGAGAGAGGTTAACAACCCAAAATGACCCATCTGAGAAACCCTGGAGATGCAACTATTCTATTACAAGTTAGACTAGAAAAAACTCAAAATTAACTAAACTGAATTTAATTACACAAATGCAAGACACCCTCAAATTCTTAAAAATCAGCCAATCATACAATTATCTTTAATCATATTACAAAACTATTCTGAGTTGAAGTTTTAATTGCTTAAGAAAATATCAAATAAATTATATTCATAATCAGTCTTCAGCATTCATCAATTACAATGTGCCAGAGACTGTACTGAACTCCACCTTTATTATACCATTTCACAAAAGTGAAACTAAAACTTTGAAGTAGGTTGCCCAAGGTTACTCAGCTAGTAATTCAAACCTGACTACTTAAATCATTAGGTTACTGCTCAAGTGAGAAAGTGAATTAATGAATTAAAGATGGGAAAGGAATTTTGAAAAAGATTTCTTAATTTGTCTAAAATCAGTTTTTATTTCTTCAACCAAAAATTAAGTTTCCGCAAGGTTTCCGACAGTAAAGGTCGCAGTGTTTCCAAAAGAGAAAGGTTAATCCATTCTTTGCAGAAATACACATCTGCCACTACTTTTGAAACTCTAGGAAATTGATCAAAATTCCAATAGTTACACTTAGGGCCAGCATTAATGGAAGGACCTGCCCTATGTCAGGAAGGGCGGTGAACACTTCAAATATCTTACTTCATCTTCACAAAACCAACCAGAGCTAGGAGCAGTACCTGACCTGACAAACCAAAACAACAACAACAAAACCAACAACTCAAGAAATCCTAGGATTACGCTGCTAACCTGTGACTAATCTAGGCCTGGAAACTCAGTGTCAAATCCAAAAAAGCATTCTTTCCATTAGTATACCTAACCTTAAATTAAATAAATAATTTCTATGCCTCTGCCCTCCTGAAATATAAGAGAGTGGGAATGTGCGGTCACACTGTGGACGGGATGCGGTCGGCGTTGGCCAACGGGGTAGTCACTAGCCACACGTGGCTGCGGAACACATGGAGTTTAAAGAAACAGTAAGAAATAGGACAACCACTTCTTTGTACTTCCTGGACTTCAATAACTTACATATCAAATTTAACTCCAGAAACTAAGTAAGTTACAAAACATTTCTTATTCCAAGAAATTTGCTCCTCTATTGTTGCAAGGGACCGTGCCTCCGAAATTCAAAGATTACAATGGTTTTGGTGACACGTTTCCCTCTCGTAAAAACCCTCTTAAAAGATGTCGCAGGTATGAAATAAGACTGAGCCACAGGAGAAGCGCAGCCCTTTGGACTCCCCTGCCATTTCTTTAGCATTCACTCGTATCTTGGAAGCATTTAGAGCGAAGCTACCAAGAGGGTTTAAGAATGCAATGACCATACCGCGTCGTCTTTTGAGTTTAGTCTCACGCAGAAATTCGTAAAATATAAAAAACACGGCTTTCCACTTAAGAATAGATTTTAAAAAGTGAACGCAAAAAGAAACCCGAGATCCCCAAAACACACGCCCTAAATTTTAATACAAACAGGAGTGCTTTTATACGACAAAAATGGGAAAAACGAAACGAGAAAATCGTTCCCGTTCCACCAAAATGGAGGGATCATGCAGAGAACAGAGAAGCCCTGGGGTCGCGCGACTGCGCCGACACCTCTTTCCTGCTGGTGGCTCGCCGCCCCAGGCCCGTAACACCACGCGGCCGCCCGCCGCCCCGGGCGCACCCGGCAGCGAGGCGGCACAGGTGGAGCGGCGGCCATGGCGAGAGACAGTAGGCTCCGGACGGGGGTCCACTCACGTTCTCGCAGCCTGTTCTTGAAGTTGGGGTCACTCCGTCTCTTGCGGTCGAAATAAATGCAGTACCCGATGAAGAGGGCCCCGCACACGCCGGCGGCGATGGCGCTGTTCCGGCCTACCATCTTTTCTCGACCGCAGAGAGGGGTCGGCGGCCGATGAGGTCCGGGGAGAAGCCGTTGGCCACGAACCCTCAGAGCGGACGGCGCCGCTCAAACTGGCGCCCGCCGCGAAGGAAAGGGTAAGGCCGAGCGCGCCATTTCCGGCCCCATCACCCGAGGCCCCCAGGCCGTCCGCAGCAGTGCCTGGTCCGAGGCCCCCGGACCGTCCGCGGCAGTGCCTGGGCGGAGGCGCCCGCGCAGCTTCTGCGTCTGCGCGGGGAGCGTAGGCGGTGCGTCTGAGACGCCTGGAGCGGTGCGCGGATGTGCGCCGCAGGTTGCGAGTGGTCGTGCACGTACGCACGGCTGGAGCTGGCGGAGGCGGAAGGTTGCTGACGTCAAATGCTTCACATTCTCTTGTCAAGCGCAGGCAGCCTGCGACTTATTTCAAGTTCAGTCACAACCCGTGGTGCAACAAGCACCGAGGTCTAGTTACTCATTTTCAAAGAATGTTACAATACAGTATCAGGAGTGGAAGAAAATGAAATGGAGCATTGCTAGAAAACTATAACCGGTAAAAGAGATTGAAGGAAAAAAGAAAACGTGAGTTGTTTTATAGCCACAGGAAACATACGTGGGTTAAATTTTAAGAGAGGCTCTGGCCAAGTGGCTCAGTTGTTAGAGCATCTTCCTGATACACCAAGGTCGCGGGTTTGACCTTTGGTCAGGGCACATGCAAGAAGCAACCCGTGAACGCATGAGCGAGTAGAACAAGTCCCTCGCTCTAAAAATCAATAAACAAAATTTTTAAAAGATTTTAAAGACAAAACCTTGGGCAGAAAGCAGGCGGCAGGCAAGCTGGGCCAGTCACCTGAAGCTCTGAGCGCGGAGTGATAGCAAGGTCGCTGTTTGTTAAGCCTGCAGACACCTTATTTTCTTCAATCTGGCCTTCGATTTTGATTTTTCTTTCCTCGTTGACTCAAACTGGTCTTATCTAGCAATCAATAAGGCCTCAGGACAATGAGGTTCTGCTCAGCATCCAGTAGTCTTAGAAACGCGGTGCTGGGTCTGTTCGCTATTGAGACACAGTTTTCACTCAACCTAAACGTAGTATGTCGACCTCAGTTGTTTTAGCTCCGAGCCCAGGGAAGCAGAACTTTCCCACAGAACAAAACGTCGCGAAGCTGGACGGCGCAAGGCGACCTGAGGACCCGGCGCAGCGACCAAGTACGCCCCACCCTAGGACCAACCCGTCAGGGGAGACCGGACCCCATTCTATCATTAGGGCCCCAGGAGGAATGATTTCTCCCTGTGTAATCAGTCCGTCCCCCGGAAGCTACTGGGAGTCAGGTCTGAGTAGGAGCTACCCGTGACTCTAGGCACGGTGCCCTTTTCTTAATAATCCTTACTTTTGTGACTTCAAACTCCGGCAACATACTTTCGGTGGCCCTGGCTTATAGTTACGGCCAAGGAGCTGGCTCAGAGGCTAGCGGACCATGTGGATACGGGGCTGGGACTTTGATCCGGGTGATATCAGCCCTACCTCTGGGAGTAGAGGGGGCCAGAGATTGAGTTCAACTTTGGATCCTACACAGTGAAACCGGAATAAAAGCTGGGCACAGAGCCGGTGAGCTCCTGGGGGTGCATCGGTGTGCCACGTGCTAGGACGAGGAGGTGTCCTGACCCCACGAGGAGGGGGCTATGGAGACTTCGCATTTGGGACTCTCCCGGAGATCTATCTCCCTGTGCAGCTTTCTCTTTGGTGGGTTTTGATTTGCATCCTTTTGTTATAATAAAACCAATCATAACTACAGGATATTCCTGAGTTGTGAGTCCTTATAGTAAATTGTTGAACGTGGGGTTAGTAAGAATCCCCAATTTAGTACCTAGCTGCTTGGAAGAATGGCCTGAAGGATCCCTCCCCCACCCCCACCCCCACACAATTTTTGACTGGTGTCTGGGGACTGTTCTGTAGGGACTGTGCCCTTAACCTATGAAGTTTGGCCTAACCCTGGGTAGTTGGTGTCAGAAGTTACTTCAATAGTACTACGGAAACATTATACTGGAGGCCGTAACCTGGGGCCTGGCAAGGGCCTTCAGCTTAAATGACAATGAAGCCAAGACCCCAGGGAAGACTGGAAATTGTACCAAAGATACATGTGCATTGCCTGGACTGGGGTGAGGTAAGATATGGTGCGTATGTACCAAAGCAAATTATTGAGACCAGAGGACTGCACATTCTTATACCATGCACATAACTACTCTTAATCTTTCCATCCCAGAAAGCTGTCAGTGAACCTCAGCAGACAGAGGTGTGTCTGGAGCCTCAGGCACACTGGAATGTAAAAGGTTTGTCCAAGGCTACACAGGTGATATGATGCTGAGAACTTGACCCTCTTGAAAATCTGAGATCACTTGGGCCCTAAATTATGACTACTCTTCTCTGTCCCCATGCTGCGCATAGTAAATACAACACAAATGCTGAGGTCACTATGAGGTCCAAGAGACCAGGTGACATGCTGTAAAACGCAGACAGAGCAGCATCAGCACCTTCGAAGCCCTTAACCACTTTACATTTCACAACAGTATCCCTTGTAAGAATCCTGCAACAGAAACAGTCTGGAAGTCCCCTAGGCACTTGTTTATGAGTGGAATCATTCATGGGTTGTGGAATGAACGTAGTGGATCATTACCAGTGTTTTTAAAAAAAATACCAGACACCAACACGTGTAGTAAGGACCAGTCCTGTCATATGAAACTTCCGTGTCAGTTAAATACATCAATGGTGTGTATACTGGTCACAATGTAAAATTAAAGCTATTGCAGATCATAGTCAAAAAAGCGTGAAACTGCTGACCTCGACCAAGGCCCTTATTTCACCAATCAAGGTATTTAGATAAAGAGGCTTGTCCATGGTCATGCACAGCCCTCTGGGTTAAGAATCAGGTGTCCTTATACCCCAGTCCAGGGCTCTTTACATGATAACCTAAGAAACCAAAAGAAGCACTCTATGTTAAGGACACTAAAATTATATGAATTTATATCTACTATATGGACTAATAACTATATACTATAAATAAAATATACCCAGTAAAATTATATATCTATAGAGAGTCTGTGTAGTCTATAAATAATGCATCTTTATATAAAATTGAATTGGAAATGTATGCAAAAATTCTCAAGAATCAAGTAATGAGTATATACTTAACCCTACTTATGAAATACAAGGTTGTCAGCATCAGAGAGGATTCAACCCTTCGATACAGGAAAATGGGAGTTGTTTTCTACAGAACCACGTTGTAAAACCTTATGAAGTTTTCCTTGTGCTATACCCACAAGACAGGATTGTCAAAATAATCAGTAACAACTGTCTCCCAGTCCCCTTATCCACATAAGGAATACGATGTGTGCATCACAGATTCTGCCCACCTCCGATCAGCCCCCAGGAGCGCCCGTCTATTCCCACCCCTCCCTAATGGATACAGACTCAGCTTGGTAAGATTTGTGTGCAGGGACACCGGCTGTGTCACCAAGTCTCAAGGGAATGCAATGGTATTCTTGTCCCTTGTTGAACTTTCATACACTGTGACTTAATCCCCATTTGTACCAATGTTTCCTTTAAAAATGATTTTTTGAAAGATTGTTTCATTCTATGGGCAACATGAACTGAAGAATCACAAGGTTTCCTGGGAGAATATTTTTCAAATTAAAAAATAAAGTAGAAACCTGCTTATTGCCAATTTGCCAAGGGCTTCAATAACCAGTCTCATCACTGGTTAACAAGAAATTAGAGCAACATTTCACATAGTTTGGTATTCTTGTTACTTATTATTAGGTTGATGAAATAAAATACCCTAGAACCCCAGCTTTTGTCATAAGAGGAAGGGAAAGGAAGAAAAACGAGTGGCTATTATATAATAGCCCTCGAACCTATGTTCTTAGGGATTGTGATTAGACCTTAGATCAGTATTCCCTCTGTAACTATTTAGATATTTGGACAAGGTACAATCAGTATTAAAGTTTAGTGTTTCTTTTATTTTTTATTCTACAGAGAGGGGTAGGGAGGGGTAAAGAGAGGGAAGGAAACATCAACGTGAGAGACAAACACTGACTGGCCGCCTCCCGTATGTGCCCCAATCTGGGGCTGACCCGCAATCCAGGCCTGTGCCCTGACTGGGAATCAACCAGTGACCTCAGGACTAGTGTTTTATTTTTCTTCCAATTTATTCACTTTTTAATTTAGTCTCATTCAAAGTAAGTCTCGACTGTCTTAAATGTTAATTGTATATTTGTAACATACACTAAAATAATACATAACCACTAAAATTCTAAATGTTTACCCTAAGTCTAAAATCATCTCTTACATCATTAGCAGTAACACATAATCCATGATAACTAATCTACCTACATCTTTAAAAAAAAAAAATGCTTCAACAGTACTATTACAATGTTAATAAACTGAAAAAGTTTCTATGTTCATATAAACCACCCATAAAAAATTCTGAAACTCAATACATGGGTTCATCGCACTTTTATTACCAGTACTCAGTAGAAAAAAACAAAGCTTCAGACTGCTACTTCTGTTTTTTCTGTTTCTTAGTTTGTCCGCTTTTCTTTTGTCCTTTCTTCTTCTTCTTCTTGACAAGAACAGCTTTTTCTCCAATAAATAAATTTTTAGAATGTCCTACATTTTTTGAAGCAAAATTAAGTCCCTTCTTCTGTTTACCGACATGCTTCAGATTGGGATTTGAATTTTGTTTTAATTTTTCTTTATTAACAGAACGCATGACTCTGAGTTTTCTTCCCATCAGTTCAGAATTATTTAATTTCAGAGCAAGATGAACAGCATCTGTATTCTGCCAAAAAAAGTCAATATGTTAATTTCAACCAGAAACTCATCTGCAAAGAAACTACCACCTTTAATGGATTACAACTGCGTGCTCAAGGAAAGCCCTCCCGCCCCCACACAGGAAGTCAAGTCCTGCCGTTCAGGCGGCTGCGCTGTGGTCTCCTTTCAGTCACGCTCCTCACACGTGTTCCCCAGGAGGCGCTCAAGATGCCTTGCCAAGTTATCAGGTAAGTCACAGTCCAACAGGCTTCCTCTTTCCCCAATGGGAAATGAACTTTCAACTAGCTAGACAGTCATGTGCAATTTTTTAAAAAAACCAATGAACCTCTTTTGCAGAAGGCTCTTTCTGCAAAAAAACCGACGTATTAGTTGACTACTACAGTGCCTGAGATGTTGGACTACATGCCTTGTATGGTTTCACTTACATCCAAAATTCTATTATTCTTTTACTCTAATAGAGAACTTCTAAAATGCTAACAACCCTGAATATACATGAGATGTTTTTTAAAGAACTTTAGAAATTTATCAAGTTACAGAAGACAGAGAACAGAGAAACAGGTAACTACAATACAGTAATGATGGGAACATAAGGCTATGACAGCCTTTCTTAAAGCTATGTGATAATACATGTCTAGAGTCTAAAAACAGCCACGTATCTTGACTAGTTAGTAACAGCCCATTGGGATCTGCCTTAAAGAAGCGATACAAAAATGCAGGCAAACATTTGGAGGAAAAAACACCATCACTCCCGTTTCATTATTACAGGGGAAAATAGAGACCACTGCAAATGTCTAACATTTGGGAAGCATTAGGGAAAAGACAGTATAAATTATGTTCCATTGCTCAATACAACATGCTTATACAACAGAAAACAACATTAAGCAGGTTTCAAAATTATATGTTCACAGATCTAAGTTCGACTTAAAAAAATGAAGGCACAAGAAATCAGTGAAAGGAAACGTATTAATGTTGTGATGGAAGAAAAACTAAAGTGCCATCAGATAGTATGTATACTCTAATTGTAAGTACAGTCTAATGTCAGGCATAGAATGCTGATGGAGGTTTAGCAAACTAAATAGAACCATTTTTGCACAGACTGAAATTTTCTTCTGAGTGACAGGTCAGTTCTTTGCTCCATTTTACGAAGGTGGGGATTGAGAGAGTTGATACCTTTAATATCCAATATTTAAAACATCATTCACTGACACGGACGCGGACAGTGAGGGAACTGGAACATCTTCTGGCGAGGAGCGATTACGGTATCCTATTATGGCAGCTCTGCCATGATTTGAGGGTGACAGTGATAGTTACATCTGAATGACAAAACAGGGACAAGCCCTCCTGGGGCATTTCAAAGAACAGTGACAGCGCAGGCATACCTCGAAGAGCACATAGCCGAACCCTCTGCCGGCACCTGTCAGCTGGTCTCTCACGATCCTTACTGCCACGATGTTCCCACAGTCCAGGAAATGGCCTTCAACCGCAGACTCTTCGACTTCTAAAAACAAATTCAAACAAAGTGGAAGCAAAGCCTCGGGATCGCCTTAGGAAGCCGGCGAGGTGTCGTAACACTGCAAGTTACACAGCCCCATAAAAATTAGTCAAGTTACAGGCACTTCTTAAAGTTACTCTTAGAGCAAAAGAGTTACTACTCAGTGGTTATTTCCATTAATTTAACAATAAATAGATATTGTGTTTAAACCAACTTACTGTATGGAAGATTCCCCACAAACACTGATCTCTTGTTTCTCTGAAACACAAAGACACAGAAATCACTCACTGAAACAGAAAATGCAGTCATCCCAAACCCAGCCTCTCCCTCGCCCCACGCATGGGGCGGGTGTGCACCTCCTGCGCCCACCACACACCAGTCCCTTGTCCGAGTCTGTCTCTTCCGTCTTCCCCGCAGGAATGGAGACTTCAGGAATGCGAGACTGCAGGACGGAGTGGCTTTTGTTTACAGCAAACAGTGACAGCCACCTGGCAGTGCTCACGAAAGGTGTGCTATGTTGGGGGTGAAGGGCCAGAGAGCAATTATTTCCGGCTTTATGGGCCACGTGCTCTCTGTTGCAGCTACTCGCCTCTGCCCCTGGGCACAGCAATACCTAAGCTGATGGTATGGCCGTGTGCTAATAAAACTGTGTTTAAAAGAACAGCGGGCAGGTGGATCGGGTCCTCACGCCAGGCTTGCTGACCCTGTGCTAGGTGCACAAACACAGCCAGGGAGGCCTCCAGGCCTTTGTCACCTCTCAGCTAGGTCGCTCTGACACCGCCAGTAATGCGCTCTGGGCTTCTGTGAGCTCTTACAAACCATTCTTCACTGACTGCATGAGACCTTTTTGAAGTGCAAACCTGGTCTCCTCATTCTCTGCTTAAACTTGTGAAACAGTTTCCAGACAAGACCCAGACTCACTGTGGAGACCAGCACCTCTGCCTGCCTGTCCGACGGCAACGCACATGCTGCCCCCCTCACACCCACCCTGTGACAACGGAGGCAAGCTCTCACCATTCCTTGAGCAAACTACGTTTTGCTTCCCACCATTTCTACTGTTTCTCCTGCCCAAATATCCTCATCCTCTTAATTTGCCTCCTCCCCCTACAGTAACACCAACTCATCGTCAACGCTGATGTAATACTTATTCTCTAGGAACCCCTCCTTTGTCCCTTCTTGCTGGCACCTCCCCAACTCAAACGTCGCTTTCTGAGCATTTATGGCAGTACTCATTATAAAACAGTAATGCCACAATCAGCCCTTCCGCTCATCTGCCCCTTTACACCAGGAACTCCTAAAGAACTGAGACTATCTTGGCACTGTATGCCCGGCACCAAGTAAAGATTCGAACACTAATAAATAATTTAACTTCCTACACTGCTGTCTATAAAATAAGGTGTTTGCCCAGATGATCTCTAACACTGCTTCCAGCCTGACTCTCCATGATTATTTAACCCAAGAGTGGGAGTGGGAGGCTGCGTTCCTAAAGCAAAGGGGACTTAATGCCTGCGTCACTCTAGGGACCAATGCTGTGACCAGAGGGCATAGGCTGTTCCCTCTGTGCTTCCCTCAAACTGCTGACTCCACTCCTCTCCAGGCGGAATCTCAGAAGAAAACAATTTTCTCTACAAAACTCTAGTTAAGTTCTTTAAACAACTCATGTACTACAATACTCACAGATGAGGTCTCCGAGGCTAGGTCAACTCGAATACGGAATCCGTCAGCAATCTGGGCTCCGTTTCTGTAGCATACACGCGAAGGGAAAATAGCTATTAAAAAGGACCGCCGCGTTGCGTAATATTTGCTCTAAAGTGAAACCAAAGACTGAAAAAGTACTCGCAAATTCTTAAATAATTCTGTGGAATCTCAAAGACAGAAAATTACCTGTTCAATGCTTTAGTAGCAGCTTTTTCATCCTTAAATACAACATAAGCGTTAATATTTTTCTGATCAGGATGAATTTTACGTCTAGACCAAAAAAAAAAAAAAAAGACAATGTAAAATTTGTTCATCTCAAAGTCACCAATATAAAAACGGCTTGTTTTCTACTTTCAGTCGGCACCTATGATGAGAATTCCTGGGGAAAGTTTGATCACTGCCAATAAATATTTAGTAATAACACACAAAGAGCACGCCACTTATACACTCATACAGACATCGGCCCAAACACAGAACAGCGCCTTCTTCCTAGTCCTCGCTCTGCGGGCGCAGGGGCTGCCGGGCACCACTGCGGGCGGGACGCTGCAACCTCGGCTGAGGCTCTGTGTCCAACACACACATCAACGGAGGGCAAGACAACCTGCTTTCTCCTTTTTACTGTAAAATAAAAACTGCACAAATACGCACAGTTTAGTGAACCGTTAACAGGTCGCCACCCTGCCGCCGTCACTCAGCTGGAGGCCCGGCCTCGGGCGCTGCTCGGTCCCTCCTTTTATAGGCCCCACTTTCCCCGTGTGTCCGGGCAGTTTCCCCCCAAGTATCTAATCCTAGACATTACCCTTTGCTCTTGTCCATTTTCCCCTCGGAACATCTTTTGTGTCTTGTTGAATCTAGAGGATTCCCCCTTTCTCTTTTATCTTACTGTTTGGAACGTCCCAAAGCCGGGATGTTGCTGATTGCAGGCTCACAGTACACTTCAACGTGCGCCTTTGGACTCTGTATTTCTTGCAAATTGGCATCTGGACACAGAGCTTTGATCAGACTCAGATGTAACCCCTTTGTCAGGACTATAGGCAGCATCCTGACAAAAGGAGACATGGTACGACTAGTTTTCACTCTTTTTTAATGACTCCAGCCATTGCTGCTCAAAGCCTAAAATCATTAATTCATTAGGTCTGCAAACTGGTGATATAATTCAGTTGTGATCAGCCAGCAAAAGGGCCTAGTAATGACCTCAGATCCTTCCCTGAGGACATCACCCTATGTTTTGAAGTAACAAAAATGCTAATGAACAAATGAGCATCATCAAGAAAGATACTAGAAAATAATGTCAAGGAATGGCTCACGACATTCTGTAATAATATACTGTCTAACAGTTTTATATTGATAAAACCAGCTATGACTTACTGAATGCCTAACATGTAACAGGCACTGTGTGAGGCATTTTAAGTATCTCATTTCACCTCACATCACTGACGTAAGTGTTAGCTTCTTGATTTTACGGATAAGGAAGTTAAGACTTGGAGAATTGTATAACCATGATTATAGGCTAACAGGTGTCCAGCCCAGGACTTAAACCAAGTCTGGCTGACTCCAGCCCCCTACTCGTTCCATGTAACACACCTCTGCGGACAACATCCAAAACCAACATGTCCTAGTACAACCCTAGAGTCTTAAAGTTTGTATCACTTCCAAATTCCTAGGCTGAAACCCACTCAATGCTCAGTGTAAGAGCAATAGGAGGTGGGTTTTTGCAAGATGTTTAGGTCACAAGGTAAGGTCCTCATAAATAGGATTAGTGCTCTTATAAAAGCGACCCCAGAGGCTCCTGGACTCTCCGGCCATGCATGGACACAGCAAGAAAGGCTGGCCCTCACTGCAATGCAACCTGCTTACCCTGACCTCAGACTTCCCAGCCTCCAACACTGTAAAAGTAAGTTTCTGTTGTTTACGAGTCACTCAGTCTGTGATATTTTGTTATGGCAGCCTCAACAAACTAAGACAAACCCCAAGACAACATAAACAGAAAGGGACACTTTAAAACATCTTCGTAACTATAGTCTGTCACTCAGTGGGAAAGGACCTCCTTGGCGCAGGGACTGCAAGCCACAGCAGGAGGCTCTGCCCCTGCCTCCGCGGCAGGCACAGGCCCTGGCGGAAGCTGCAGGAGGAGGAACCAGTGACACCCAGACATGCAGCTGTCCCTGACACACAGCGCTCTGTTTCCACCCAGAAGGGAGGACGCCAGCAGTAGCATCATTCCTGCCCTGAAGAAGAAGAAACCAGATAAGCTATGACTTCAGGACTTCTGTTGGTGCCAGCAAAAAGCAGAAGGCAAGGGGACGCGATCGGCCTAGAAATGAAGACTGGGCAGGCCGTCTGAGGAGCACCGGCTCACAGGCTGGGCGCCAGGCCAGTCAGGCAAGCCGAAGAGACTTCAGCTATGGTTTTACAGAACTTAAATCCAAGTGTGGGCTGGGCCTGACGTGGAATCCCTGGAGGCCACTGACAGAGGACGGGCACCAACTCATCAGCTCCCTCGGGGTCTGCAGGAAAGACTGAGGGCAGGGGGGAGCGCAAGAACATCCATGGTGGGTACAAGCCTGGAGAACAGAAGGGCCAAAGGTGGAGTGTGGCGGGCACAAAGCCCCACCAAGATTCTCCTCCCTGTGGAGGAGGAGGCTAAGCCACTGGGGCAGGAGCAGCCAACTCTCCACCCCGTCACCCCTCACCTCCTGCACAGGGAAGGCCCCTTGTGGCCAGAGGAAGGGAGGCCTCCTCCCACCTGGCAAGATCCACCGAAGGCACAGGGCAGTCTGTCCGCCAAGGGAAGGACTGCCCATCAGGCACAGTTGTGAGTCACGGAAACAGAGGGCCTGCATCCAAGGCTGGGCCACCGCCACCCCAGCCCTCTAAGCTGCACCTTCGATCGCAGTGAAAACTTTTACCCTTTAGTAAAACGCCCTTAAAAAGGCTAGCCACAGACTGGGGCAAACACCCAAAACATGTGTATCAGAAAAAGGTTTCGGATCCGGAATACACAAAGAACTCTTTACAACTCAATAATAAGACAAGCCACTAGAAAGTAGGCAAAATTTATGAACTGACATTTCACCAAAGAATCGCCAAATAAGCACATGAAAAGATGCTTAACATCTTCAGTCATTAGCAGAATACAAACTAAAGCCACAATGACACACTTTTAGAATGGCTAAAACGAAATGACGGCCACCACCAAGTGTCGCTGAGGGCGCGGAGCAGGGGCAGCTCTCACACTGCTGGTGGGACTGTGAAACGGTGCCACCACTTTGGACAATAATTTGCAGATTCTCAGAAAGTTAAGATACACCCACCATCAGACCCAGCAATCTCACATGTCTAGGTACGTCTTCAACAGAAATGACCTGGTTTTGCTACCTTTACTCATGATAGCCAAACACCGGAAATAACCTGGATGTCTATCACCTGGCACAGGCCACCGAGGAGCCAGCAATACAGATGCATCTCAAAACCATCACACTGGGCAAAAGGAGTCAGACAAGAGTGCATCCTGTATGATGAGTCCACCACATAAAATCCTATAAAATGCAAACTAGCATACAGACAGCAAGCAGCTCAGTGGTCACTGGGGACGGGGTGGGGGGCGATGAAACCTGGGGTGATCGACTATTCAGGAGCTTGACGGTGGCGATGATTTCATGAGTGCATGCAAATGAAAAATCATAAAATTGTACACTTCAAGTAGGTGCAATTTACTGAAGGTAAATTATACCTTAAGGGAAAAGATTTAAGCTTTTTTTGGACTATATGAAAAAACAAAAAAGTTTTACATGTCAAAATCCCCTACAAGCCGAGCAAAAAAGCAAATGAAAATATGATATATGTAGCTCAAATCACAAAGGACAAATTTTGTTAACACGCCACAGATAAGAGAAAGAGTTCGGAAGGTCCCAGGAGCTCGGGCGGCAGCGACCACGCACAACCGCTTCTCTGAGGCTCCCAGCACATGCCCAACCCGTCACCCTCATGATGCCCAAGAGCAGTGATTTTCAACTTGTTTTTTTTTATCTTATGGCACACATAAACTAATTACTAAATTCTGTAGCACGCTAGAAAATATTTTTTGCCAATCTGACAAAAAAAAAAAAAAAAAAGAGGTATAGCACTGGCTGATGTGGCTCAGTGGATTGAGCACCGGCTTGCAAAACAAGGGGTCGCTGGTTCAGTTCCCAGTCCGGGCACATGCCTGGGTTGCAGGCCAGGTCCCCAGCTGCAGGCATGAGGGAGGTAACTGATCCGCGTTTCTCTTTTGCATCGATGTCTCTCTCTCTCTCTCTCTCTCTCTCTCTTTCCCCCTTCCCTTCTCGCTAAAACTAAATAAAATGACAGAGGCTTCATTAAAATAAATGGTTAAAAAAAATAGGTATAGTCTGGCTGGTGTGACTCAGTGGATTGAGTGCCAGCCTGTGAACAAAAGGGTCACTGGTTCAATTCCCAGTCAGGGCACATGCCTGGGTTGTAGGCCAGGTCCCCAGGTGTCGGTGTATGAGAGGCAAGCAATCAATGCATCTCTCACACACTGATATTTCTCTCCCTCTCTTTCTCCCTTCCTTTTCCTCTCTCTGAAAATAAATGAATAAAATCTTCTTTAAAATATAGGTATAATTTTGATTCATTCACACCAGATGACTACTGTTATGCTTGCTGTTGTCATTTTTTATTTCACAGTCAATGACTCTGACTAAACAGTCAGGTACTGCGTGTTTTAAAAACCATTGCGGCGCACCCGTTGAAAACCGCTGCCCAAAAGGCAGGTCCACTCCACCAAAGGGGTACAAAGGAGGAGCCCAGGAGAGCCGCATGGCTGTCAGCTAAACCTGCTGCTGCAAAGGTGGAAATGAAGCCAAAAAAAGGCAGCAGGAAAGGATAAATCTGCAGATAAAAAACATGCAAACAAAAGGGAAAAAGTGAGCCGAGAACAGGCTAAGTGCCAACTAGAAAACCAATAATCTACCTGCAGAAACCAGAGACACTAAAAATGCAGAGAGCCCAGCCCAGACGGGTGGCTCGGCTGGTTGGAGCACTGTCCCGTCCTCTAAAAGGCTGTGGGCTTGATTCCCGTTCAGCGTGCGTATGGGAGACAACCAATCGATGCTTCTCTCTCACATCAATGTTTCTCATTCTCTCTCACTCTCCTCCCATCCTCTCTCTCTAAAATCAATAAACATATCCTCCAGTGAAAATTAAAAAAACCACACAGAGTCCAGCCTTTGACAAAGCAGGCAAGAAAGAAGCCAAGTCTGGTGAATATCATATACATCTTGTCGGTGGTCCCTGTTTCCCTCCTTATACAATCCAGAGGAATATGTTCACCAACTCTTTTGTAAATCCAAGGTTTTAAAAACATTATTTATTTATTTTTACAGAGAGGGGAAGGGAGGGGGAAAGAGAGAGAAACATAGATGTATGGTTGCCTCCCAGGGAGCTGGCCCACAACCCAGGCCTGTGCCCTGACTGGGAATCAAACCAGCCACCCTTTGGTTTGCAGGCCGGCGCTCAATCCACTGAGCCACGCCAGTCAGGACTTGTAAATGCAAGTATTTTTTCTAGCTCTAGAAACATTTTTAAGGGGGAGGGATTTCTACCTCGTCCCATTTTTTAAGTTTAAATGATTTTTATAATAGCTGAAATCATAAGCTGGCTATTATTTTTTCTTTCTTCTTTTGTTTTTTTGGTACAACCAGAAAATAGTGCAATACTAAATATGGGAGCTTTGATTGTCTTGGGTGTCAGCTTACATTCCATAGATGGGGTAGTGTTATATCCTATTATACAAAGTACACTAAATGGCAATTTGGAGTCAGTTGTACATTTAATACTCTGGAGCATTTTAAATTACTTCTATTCCCATGTTTCTGGAAGCAACGTTTCCAAAAGAAAACCACTCCTTGTCAAAATTTTGTCAAAACCACTCCTTGGCTCTCCCTGTCAAAATTTTGTGCACTCTGTAACATCTTAACATCTTTGGTGTGGGCCAGATCCCCAGCCGCAGCATCCAGGAGGCAACTGACCAGTGTTTCTCTTTCCCACTGGTGTTTCTCTCTTTCTTCCCCCCTTCCCTTCTCACTGAAAATAAATAAATAAGATGACAAAGAGGCATCATTAAATCGTTTTTTAAAAAAAGTCTCGTTTTTCCTAGTAACTTTGTTAAGTAATGTGCTGTGAAAGATTAAACATTTGATTATGCAGGTGTATCTGACATTAAATGATGAATCAGTGGGACAGTCACATAGCAGCATATTGCCATTTGAAGAGACTGGCACTTGATATTGTATTAAGAAAAACCTGCCTCCGAATTTTAAGATGGAAAGTCATGGGAAGAACTGCTTAGAAAAGAATCACAACTACACGGCTATTTAGGTTTTGGTACTTACACTAGGGATTGTGTACAAAGAGAAATGCCTGTCTACTTATCCTCAAAACGACCGATAAACTCTCAATTATGAAAGAAAAAAATAAGAAACAATTCAAAGAAAAAAAATGTGTAAATGAAAGCAACAATTCGGATAAAAGGAAGCACCAATGACTTGAATGCAATGACGTAAGTGCAACAAATAAAAAAATACCATTCTCATCTACCAGGGTGCCAGGATTAAAGAGCTCAAAAGTGTATTGTTGGTAAAGGTGTGGGAGTATTAGTAGGTTACCATTCTCTGTAGGACAGCGCTCAAAACTACAAAGGCAGCCCTGGCTGGGTGGCTCAGTTGGTTGGCAACATCAACCCGCACACCAAAAAGGTCGTGGGTTCCATCCCTGGTCAGAGCACATACCTAGGTTGTGGGTTCAATCCCCAGTTGGGGTGTGTACATGAGGCAACCGATCAATGTTTCTCTCTCAAATTGATGTTTATTTCTTCCATTCTCTCTCTCTCCCCGACCCCTTTCCTCTCTCTCTAAAATTAACACACACATCCTCGGGTGAGGATTGTGGAAAAAAAAAAGCAACCCCCCCTCCCCCAAAACACTATGAGGGCAAATACCCTTTTGAGGAAGCAACTTCACCACTAGAGGTTCATCCTACAGATAGATTTGCACATGTATGAAATTACTAAGTTCAAGGTCACTCACTACAGCCATTACTGGTTAACAGCCACAATACTGGAAAAAAACTAAACATCCATCTATGGAGGGTTTGTTAAAACGAGACACAGTACACCTTACGGAATAGTAAGATGCTCTGAAAGAAATGTTGGGGGGGGGGGATGTTTACACTGATATACACAATCTACAAGTTACAGTAAGTGGAAAAAGAAAAATGTGGACCAGCATACATGTTGAGTGTCACTGTGTCAAAAAGTTACATGAGGGAAGAAATAAACATGCATTGAGTTGTAAATGCATAAAAAGTCTCCTGAAGGTTAGCGAAAAAGTGAACATAGCAGCTGCCTGGGGTAGGGAATCCCTTGACTAGGAAAAGGTGTATGAAAGTTTTCACTGTGGACATTTTTGTACGTTTTTATTTTTAACCATTTGCTTCATAACTTATTCAAATAATTAATTTTTTTAACAGATTCTTTTTACCGGGCCGCGTGGGGAGCCGATGGCAATCACAGTGAGCGAACTCCGTTTCTCTGGCACCCAAACCCCTCGGCACCACCATCACACACTCCTGGCAGAGCCTTTCCTTCTGCCCAAACGCAGGCCCTGGGCTTCAGCCTCCCAGAAACCTAAGTCTGTGCGGCCCAAGGAAGGGCTCTGTCTTACCCAGTTTTCCACTCCCCACATCGCCTGAACACCACCTTGCGCCCCAGAGGGCTCCCATGTTTGGCTACCTCAACGAACAGTACTGCGATCAGTAACACAGAGCTCCCAAGCGGTCACTGCACACCCGGCGCTGTGATGGTCGCGGGCAAAGCCTGACAAAGACCCCGTCTGCCCAGTGATTCTAAATGAGAAATAAGCGGAGGAATGAACTCGCCAAGATGTGCAAAGGGAATGCTGCAATTCAAAAACGCTGATATAACAAGATTCCCAGAACTGTTCCAAAGTACACAATTATATCTTATCTAACATAACTATTCCTGTATGTAACTCTAATGTATATAATTTATACACCTCTGCTTGTAAATTCCACCATTTCATGTACCAGTAAGAATGAACATAACCAAGGCTGGGAGACTAATGGAAAATCCTTCATAAAACTAAAGGTAAATTAAAAAAGTTGTATGCCTTAAACTTACATGTTATATGCCAATTTTATTTCAATTTAAAACAAATGAAAAATAAAGGGAGAGGAAGGAAACTTGCATGTTTCATCCTTGGGACTAGGTGGAAAGGAGGGCAGGGGAAGTCCCCCAAGGACCTGAAGCAGCAGCCACAAGACCAGGCTGGTCTCCAAACTCTCACACAGAGAACTCAGAGAGGTCCCACTGGCGGTACCCCCGGGTGGCACTGGAAGCAAACAGGAATCCTCTCTGGAAAACCTGGCCAGCCAACAGTAACGATGGGGCAACCCTGATTTCATGATGCATCTTAATTTCAAAAATGTTATCATAAGGGAAAATGTATAATTTACAACTGATAAAATATGATATAATTTATACTAAAATATTTGGACGCACAATTTTCTTATGCTCTTCAAACACTACACCGGATTCAGCACCCTACAAGTTTCTCATGGCACCTTTTCTAGTAATTTATTTTACAATACTTTCTGTGACTCTACAATTTACGTTAAGGCATAAAGAGAAACATTTGACAAATTCAGGTGCTAGGACAGACATAAGGAAATAATAAAGCACAATGTACTACCCAAATATAAAATCTATCAAGTTAAGAAATGCTCTCAACTTTAACCAAAATGGAGGAGAGTTTAAAACTACTCACTTTCTCTAATTATAAACTTACTTTATTGCAGCCAACTTTTTGGACATAGTTCCCTCTGCTGGAATCTTTAAAAAGGAAAAAATATTAAAGAAAATTCATTATTTGAACTAGTACTTCGAATTAATTATATTTTAATTAAATTCTAGATATCTAACCGATATAGCATGATTAAAACCATTCTAGGGAAACTGACTCAGAAACTGCACTGCAGCGGCGCCCCTGGGGGCGGCGCGGGGCGCGGGGCGCGGGGCGGGCAGGAGCCGCAGGCAGAGGCCCTTCGGGAAGGCCAGGCTGACAGTGGCACGCTGGGTAAACGTGAGGTCGACAGCAGGCGGGCACCACCACAGGCCTCTGCAGCTATTCTGACAAGAGGTGATGAGAACTTAGACGGAAAAAGAAATGAATGACTCGTCTTGGGAAGAAACCACAGCTGAGAAACAGGCAGGGATGCCCTGGCAGGGTAGCTCAGTTGGTTGGAGCACCGTTCCCATATGCCAAGGCTGAGGGTTTGATCCCCAGTCAGGGCACATACAAGGAGCAACCAATGAATACATAAATAAGTGGAAAACAAATTGATGTTTCTCTCTCTCTCAAATCAGTAGATAAAAATTAAAAAAGAAAAACAGGCAGGGATGGCAAACACTAGGTGGGGTGGGACAAAGAAAAGAGTCAAGGACAATGACAAGGCAGCCTGGTGGCTTTAAATCAGATAGAAATCAGCAGGCAGCACAGGCTGGGGTGGGGAATAGATGGAGGAAAGCACAGGGGTCCCATCAAGACACCCAACGGCATCTGATGTGGGGAAGTGGGACTCAGAAGGGCAGGAAAAACACATGTGGTAAAAGTGAGGAAAAAACAGCATGACAGAAATTCTGGAAACTGCCAAGGCCTTGGGAAATGTCTCCTTTTAGAGTCGTGGGTGGTTTTGCCCTCTATGACATGTGGCGATGTCTGGAGATATTTCTGGTTGTTACAGCTGGGGTGGGCAGGGTGCTGCAAAATATCCCATAAAGCACAGGACAGCCTCCACCAGCAAAGAATCATCTGGCACAATGTGAACAGCATCAAGGCTGAGAAATCCCATCTCAGAGAACCACATCAGCGAAGGAGCAGTTAGAGACAAGGAATAGCATTTCCTACGTTCTAATACACATCATTTACATTTAAAAGATATGAATGATGCTTATTTCAGGCTCCAAGAAACACAGCTATAGCTGGTCTACAGACTGTTCACTTAGTGACATCAGATACCATTTACTTGTATAGTGTTAACATTCAACTGACTTTTTAAAAAATACTTCATTTTTCTAGGTTCAGAGAATAAGTACTGTGTGCAGCAGCCACACAAACTCCCACGATAAAAGCCTGCGATTCCAGAAATGCTTTTCAGCAAGTATTAACATTCCTGCCTACTCAACGGACACAGCAAACACAAGTCATCCATCCACCCTCCAGAACACAGTGTTGGCCTTGATTACAAGGGTATCATTTTACTATGTGAACTCACTAAATTATTTAACAGAGACAAGAGTCAGCAATACATACTAAGAGCAACTCTCCTCTTGATTCAAAAGGCTCAGTCAAGTGCTTATCCACCTCATTAATACCAACACGGTAATGAGTCCAATTTAAATGCAATATGTCTCAAGATTATGCAGTTTTAAGGGGGAAGAAAACATACCACAGAGCGAAATCGCACAGATTCTATTGGTCCATACTCTTTAAAAAACGACTTCAGCTTCTAAAATAAAAAATATATACTTTAGTTTACTTTCAGAACATCAAATAAGTGCTACAAAAAGGAATTAAGTAAAACTGTCTGATAATCTTTTACTTCCAGGTTTTTTTTAAAGAACACGGCAGAGAAAGCGGGTGGCTATTCAAGTTGGAAGACAAAGTTTCCTGAAACTTAGGGAAAAAGAAAACACAATATAAGTTCATGTTAGTGTCCATAAGGTACACAACATTTTTGTCTTTCAGTCTTTGATAATCTTTACCGCATGTGAAACTAAGATTATAAATTCCATAGATTCTCTCACCTTTTCATACTGGCTTAAACTAGAAATGAATTTTAATGCTTATATAAAGGTGAGAAGTTGAGAAAAACTCCCCAGCTGCCTGGAATTAGGACCATGGGACAGAAGGAAAAGATCTGGTGTGAATTTTATACATTATTCTTATGACTGGCTCAGGATGTTTATAATATATGTTTTACAGCTAGAATTACAATCAATTCTAATTCATAAATAATGTTTTGAATGTGCAAAGCACCACACACACTCCCTTCCCTGGAGACTTTTATAATCTAACAGGAAGATCAATAACCAAAACTATTCTACAAATGTGTTCTGTTCTACAAAATAATCACAAATCAAACGGTAGGAGACAATAGTGTAAATGGGAAAGGGATAAACCAGGAAGTCAGTTTTTTGGTACTGTTTTGTTTTTAAAGAAATAGAACTTAAATTGTCCTTCAAAAGATGAGCGGGGCCCTTGCCAGGTAGCTCAGGTGGTGAGAACGCCGTCCCAATACGAAAAGGTTATAGCTTCGATTTCCAGCCAGGGCACGTAGAAGCAACCAATGAATGTATAAATAAGTGGAACAACAAATCAATGTCTTTTTCTCTCTTTCTAAAATCCATTTTTTTTTTATTTAAAAAACATAAAAAAAAAAAAAAAAGATGAGTAGGATTTTGACCCAAGATACTGCCAAATGGTGTGACTGTCACATGAACTCACAGAAAGGAAAGGGCATGTTTTGGTTTAGTGAGCCCCACATAATGGAGGAAACCTAGGATGTACTCATTCAGTTACATGATACATATTTACTGAGCCTCTACTATGTGCAGGGAACTGTTTCAAGTGCCAGGAAAAGAGCAGAGAAGGAAAGAGACTGACAGCCCCACACACAGTGGCATGTGACAGGAGATTAAGGCTGGGTCACTGCATTCAAATAAGATCTGCAGAACATATATGTATGACCCATGGACAGGGACAATGGGGCAGGGGAGGGCTGGGTAGAGGTGAGCAAAGGGGGGGAAAGTGGGGACAACTGTAAGAGCACTAATGATAAAAAATAAAGAAAAACTAAAAATAAATCAATCAATCAAGTAAGATTGGCAAAAGCCTGAATTAGGGCAGTGACCACGGGGAAGAAAGGACAGGTGGATAACGGAAGCAACACACAGAACGATTTATGTATTCTTTTTTTTTACTTTTTAAATTTTTTAAAAGATTTTATTTGTTTATTTTTAGAGAGAGGGGAAGGGAGGGAGGGAGAAAGGGAAGAAAATATTAATCAGATGCCTCTCACCCCAACCAGGACCAGGCTGCAACCCCGGCATGTGCCTGACCAAGAATCGAACAGGTGACCTTTTGCTTTGTGGGACGACTTCCAACCCACTGAGCCACACCAGTAAGGGCTGCTGTAGTCGCTCAAAATGAAGTTAGATATCAGTGACTTATTGTGTGCTTACTCAAGAAAGGAAAAATAAACTTAAAGAGTTTATTATCTTCTGTGAATCCTTACAATACACAGATTACACACTTACCTTCTTATTACATGTGACAGGCAAATTCCCCACAAACACAGTTCTCTCATTCTTTAACCTCTCTTCCTCTTGGTTGATTTGAATTTTCTTCCTTTGATTGACAGCTGGGTAATCGGCATCATCAAGTACTTTTTTATCTGCTACTTTAACACCAGATTGAGAAATTTTCCTTTTCTGCCCTTGTTTCTGGTGAGTTTCTTTTTCTTCTAAATCAGCACTTGCTAGAGCATTTTCTCTTTTTAAGGCAAAAAGAGAAGACGGAGGTAGAGGGGAAGAAGAGTAAGAGTCATGAAAGTCAGGTCTAGTATTTGACAAAGCACAGTGATCAGAAATACTTCCCACTTATTTCTGACTTTCCTAAATATCAACATACCATTCACAAGTATACCTACATTTTAAAAGTAGCGTTATCAAAAGGAGACTATTATCTTTACAAAACTCAACGATCAGAAAAAGTTTAGCTCCATTTTTGAAGATATGTTACAACTGCCAGGTAACAGCAGAACATTCATTTAAACAAAAGTGAGTTCATTTAATGCTCTTGGAGTTTAGTTGACACTATCCCAGTGCCTACTTCCATTCTCTGCTCTGGAACTCTAGGGGTACTGCAGCGCCCCCTGGGGGTCTACAGAGGTCAATATGCCTGCAGAATGCCTTGTACAAGCAATCTGGCCAAGAGAAAAAACTACTTCTGTAATATTTAAAGGACTGCTTGTCCAAAGTAAATTCTGAAAAGTAAATTTCTGAAATTCTGAAATACAATATAAAGTCTTGGGACACATGGATAAAGTGAGGTCTGAGCACCAATCCAACAAGAAAACTAATCCGGGATCTTAAGGAGTGAAGGGAGAGAATGGGGAATAGAAGTCATTCATTCATTCATTCATTCATTCAATATTTCCTGGTTTCTATTCAGTTCTAGCCTCTGCCAATAGAAACCACCATTAAAGTCCTTTCAGAAGTCCAGTCTCTGAAGAAATAAGCAAAGTTCATGATAAAATGGTAACATCTACAATACGTGGCATAGAAACATAAAAGAGCCCTGGCAGGTGTGGCTCAGCGGATTGAGCACCGGCCTATGAACTGAAAGGTCGCTGGTTCAATTCGCAGTTGGGGCACGTGCCTGGGTTGCAGTCTGGGTCCCCAGTTGGGGGCATGAGAGAGGCAACCACACATTGATATTTCTCTCCCTCTCTTTCTCCCTCCCTTCCTCTCTCTCTAAAAATAAATAAAAATCAAATCTTTAGAAAAAAGAAATGAGAAATAAGAAAGACTTTTCAGAGGAAAGGCAGTGTCTCCCACAGTCCTCAGTAAATATTGATTATTGTTCCCCCACAAAAGCCTTAAGCTCCACTAAGAAGAGGTCCACGTCCAGTTTTCTGCCCACTGTGGTGTACAAAAGCCCCCAGCAGGAGTCGAAGGAGCTGAGACAGTAGGCAAGGTGGGAACCAGGTCTAGAGGGCTGTGCCTATAGAGGAGCGGGAGCCACTGAAGACTTTCAAAAACGCCTAAAAAAGATCATTTGGGCAGCAGAGCAGAAGATAATTAGGAAGAGGAAGAAGGCTGGGCAAGGGAGACCAGTGAGGAGACCGTTATAACTGCAGAGAGCTGAGAAGACAACAGACCAGCCAGAGCAAGGGAGGCAGCGGACAGGGGAAGACAGACTTAAAAGATAACTAAAAGGCAGCATCCTCAGAACAGGGCAACTGGTTAGATTTCCAGGGGGAGGTAGGGAGTGTAAAGTGACTCCCAAGCCACTGGCTCAGGCAACTGGAAGGCTGGTGGTCTCACTCATGCAGAGAGCTGGCTTGACGAGGAATACGAGCTCGGTCTGAGGACTTCTGAAGTTAAGGTGAACTGGACCATGCGGGCACAGGTGCTGGCTGGCAAACAGATGCACAGGTCTGGAGATCGGGAGCAAGATCAGAATGATGGCTCACGGGCACAAATGACATGCCCCAGAAGGAAGGGTGAAAAAAGGTCATGAGATGACAGCAAACAGAATCCTGAGGAAAATCATTATTTAAGGAGCAGTCAGAAGAAAAGGTACTGACAACAATACTGAGACATAACAGACAAAAAGAGAATCATGAGATTGCTATCAAAGAAACCAACAGCTTTTAGAAGAAAAACAGCCATGTGAAATGTAATGGAGAAGCCCTGGCCAGGGAGCTCAGTTGGTTAGAGCGTCAGCCCAATGGCTCATGGTCAAGGGTTCAATCCCCCATCAGGGCACATGCAGGAACCAACCAGTGAATGCATAAATGGGTGAAACAGCAAATCAATGTTTCTCTCTCTGTTAAATAAATAAATTTTTAAATGTAATAGAGAAAACTTGTAAGACAAAGCCTATACTGTCTATTAAATATGACAAGCAGGTCAGAACGGCTTCAGTGAGCACTCTTTCAGAAATACGATCATGTAAAAACAAGCACAGCAAAGATCCAGACTGCAAATGTGAGAAAGAGAAAACAGATGAACAAAAGGAAGAGAGCACACACATAGACTTCTACTGACAGCTCGACTATGAAGGGAGGGATAGAGGGACTGATGCCAAACAAAGACATCATCATGGCTGTAGACAGGATTTGTTTGGTTGGATTTTTTTTTGGATGAGACTTTTAAGTACATTTACACGATGGACAGATCAGAGAAGGTATGTGCTGTACACGGCACAGGTGACTGAATTAACCTTGGACTAGGTGGGAGACACTTTTCTCTGAGAAAAAAAGGAAGAAACAGGATATGTATAGATATATTAAGCAGGAGAACAAAAAATAGTAGTTTACAACCCCTAGCAATTAGTAGCTCCCTGAACGGGTAAAAAGACCACCTGCTGAGAGAGACCAGAGAAGAGGCTTGATAGACATAAGAAAAAAGTTAAGTGGGAACCGGCCTTGGTACTGTTTGGATCTTGATTCAAATACACTGTTTAAAGAGGAAGAAAAAAAAAAGCAAATGGGGAAAATGTGCTCTCTGAATAAGTTTAAGAAAACCAACTCATCTTTTATAAAGACGCTGAAATATTTACAGATGAAACATAAGTCGTCCGTTTGCTTCCAAATAAGGACGGAGTATGAGTGGGTAAAGATGTAATAAGACTGACCCAGTTTTAATAACTGTTGTTGTTTGCTACATGGCGGTCCTTATCATTTCAAGTTTTGAGTACGTATGAGGTTTTCCGTAATACAATTTTGTTAAAAATTAGAACTATGAAATAACAAAAAAAAAAAAAATTAAGATAGCTATTGCAGGTTTAAAAATCTGTTTCCTTACCATCTACATTCCTTAATCAACTAAGAGAGAATGTTACCAACCTGTTGGCCAACTTTTTGTCTGCATCAGAAAGTTTCTTCACTTTCACTTTTTTTGCAGGTTCTTGCAAAAGTGGCCTCTCCATCTGGGATGTACTGTCTTCCTCCTCATCCCGCTTCCTTTTCCTGGTGGTTCCCTTTTAAAAGTGTGAAGTTACGTGTGAGACCGCATCCTTTTTTGATAACTCAGCGGCCTGCCTAGGTTAGCATCTCCTCTTTCTCACAGGCACGCCCGGGAACGACAGGCCGCTGGAAATCCTGCTCTCCGCCCCGCCTTCGAGCCTGGCCCTCCCTGCCGGGCAGACTCTAGTTTTAAAGCTGTTTCTACGGGCCAGCGGGAACACACCCAGGTGACTTACATCTGGCACAGGCACGTACACGGGTTGGAGCTGCGACTCCCCGCAGCGGAAGAGCGCCGCCAGCCGACCGGTGCCGCCTCCGGAGCGGCGCCCGCCGCCGCCGCCCAAGCTGTCAGCCACCTGTCCCACTCGGTAGTCCGCCTGCGGAGGCCCCCCGCCGCCGCTGTCCGGGCTCCGCCCGGAGACCGACGCCAGGGGCTCGGACACGCCGCGCCTCCGCTCACCTGCCCGAGCCCTGGGACACGAGCCGCGTGCCACTCGTCCCGCCGCGGCTCTCTCCTCCTTCCTCTCTTTGTCCTTCCCCTTTAGGGCCATTCTCAGCCGGAGGCCTCCAGGAGCCGCAGCACGAGGGCCCGCAATTCCGCGTCCCGGCAACTTCCGCCCAGGACCACGCCCCTTCCTCTCCGGCGTCCGAGGGAGGATCTCCCTACTGAAGCGAAGGTCCTGAGCGTGAAAGTCAGGCAGGTCGGGTCAGTGGGGCTCAGCCCCAGCCGACGCAGAGCACGTTGGAAACCCCGAAATTGTTGGAGAGGAAGGCGGTTTCTGGGATGCGGGTAACACAGTGTTAAGGGTACATGGACTTCGAACTGCACGTGCAACTTTTTTGAAATTGGACATTATTTCAAAGTAAAGTTAAAAACAAATGAAGACCACAACTCTAACCTGCTCTGCTTTTCTACTGGGAAAAGTAGATGCTTTGACAACGAAAACTGCTTTTTTAAGTATGTCTAGCTACTCAGGTTCATCTCCTTCCAAACCCTTACATTCTAGCTTTTTTCCCCCTCAGTCCTTCCTTTTATTATTCCTTTTTCTCGTTATTTCTCCCCCCAAAATTGTCCTCTTCCTCCTTACCCTTTATTTCCACCTGCAGAATGGTACCCATCCTTCAAGGACCAGCTTAGATAGTATCTCACTTATGAAAAGTTCCTGGCACTTATAATATATGAACATAATCTTTTTCCAAGCCTCGTGTATTTGCATTAGTGTTATTCAAACAGTGTCTCTAGATGTAAATGGGTGTCTTATTCCTCCCATAGTCTCTATCCTTATTTGCTATATCTAGTGAGGATTTCATAAACTGACTTTTAGGTAATAAAAGATAAATATTGGGTTGGCCATAACGTTCGTTTAGTTTTTTCCATGAGATGGCTCTAACAGCATGTCTTTATCATCATTCAAAACATTTTGTTGAATTGTGACAGCTGTCATACTAGTATGCATTGAAAAAATAAAACAAAAATACCTTACTGCCCTGGCTGGTGTGGTTCAGTGGATAGAGAGCTGAGCCTGTGAACCAAAATGATCGCAGGTTCGATTTCCAGTCATGGCACGTGCCTGGGTTGTGGGCCAGGTCCCCAGCTGGGGGCAAGTGAAAAGCATCTCATCAATCTCTCTCTCATACACCGAGGTTTCCCCGTCTCCCTCCCTTCCTCTAAAAAAATAAAATCTTTAAGAACAAAATTGGTGAATTTTTGTGCAACCATTTTAATATTGAAGATGGAAGATAATGCAACATTTTTGGTGTATCATGCTTTATTATTTCAAGAAAGGTAAAAACACAACTGAAACACAAGAAAAGGTTTGTGCAGTGTACGGAGAAGGTGCTGTGATTGAACGTGTCAAAGGTGGTTTGGGAAATTTCTTGGTTCTATTGACATTTTGGCCAAATAATTCTTTGCTGTGGGGCTTATTTGGAAGATGTTTAGCAGCACCCTGGCCTTTCTCCACTAGAAGCCAATAGTGGGGGAGAGCCAACATACTCAAAATATCCAAATCAACGAAGTTATTGGTGAAAATGAAAAATGTCCCTTACATTTCATGGGAAAAAAAAAACCCATAAGGACTTTTTGGCCAACTCAGTATTAGGTTATAATTAGATAAATCATTGAATTCAGTAGTTTTGGTGGTAAAATAGGGTTTGACTTTGATCTATGGGAACAGACTTGGCTTTTTGAAAGCTGCTTAACAGAAGTCACTGGGCATATACGTGACCTTTTATAGACAACCTCAGATAAGTTCATGAAGGAAAAAAAAAACAACAATCAGGCTGTTTGGACTTGGTTTTCATTTGTGAGCCCCTTATGTTGGTTTTTCATAATTGTGACCTTACAGTATTTCACAAAGATGAGAAAAATCCAACTGTCAGTATTTGCTACTCGAGCATCTCCATCTGTCCTATATAGTTCAAAGAGGAAATTCTATTCATTCCTCCTTCAGAATGTCCCCAACCCCATTCCTTACCCACTCTGCCTACCATTATCCAAAGGATCACTTCGCGTCCGCACACTGCAACCTCATGACATCTTGGCCTTCTTCTTCCTTCACAGATGTCATTTCCAGTGAACCCCCCACCTGGGCATCAAGGTTTGCATCTCTGTCACAATCGCATCAGCCATCAGGTTCTACACGCTCCAACACCGCCTTCTTTAACCTCTTATGCACTTGTTTTCCCTGCCCATAAAATTTAATATGCAATTTTATACCTTATATGCATGGTTCAAACTAAACCATGAAACTATTCCTCTGGGGGATTACATCTTATACATGCAGAACCCATCTTGTTAGCCCCAAACCCCAAAATAGCAGGTTAGAATTCAACAGTCCCCATTGCTGTTCAGAACTGGATTTTAATTGTTTAGTGATCACTTAATCTCTTCTGAAGTTTCTGAAAATACAAGGATTCTTCATAGAAAAATACAAAAAAAATGTAAAAAAAAAAAGTCAGGGTTTTCATGGAATCTGCTCCATCTTCCCTAATCTCCCAAGTTAAGAAATTTAACAAGACCTCACCCTGAGATTAGTATTTTAGTAGGAAAAAACAGTTTGGGAGAACACTGTAAAAAAAAATTTAAACAGTCTTAGTTGTATAATAGATTGTAGACTAGGTTGAAAAAATACAGTGTGGGTCACCAGGACAAAACTTAAGTTAAATTCTAGTAACACCATGAAATTGCCAAAACTCTCCAGAGAAGCTGGGAAGAAGGACACAAGGGCAGGAAGAGGGCAGAGACGCCCAAGAGTGTAAACCTCAACTCCAACAAAGTTTGGGATCATTCGCCTTTAGAACACTTTCTGTAACACACAAAGTATTTATCAGGAGTTCCTTGGAAAACAGGTAAGACTGCAGACAGTAGGATGAAGACAGTTGGCCAGGTGTCTCCTTATAGGTCTTCTCAGAGTTTTTAATATGCTAACACTGAATCTCTAAGAAGGAAATGTGCTATACATAGCATTTCCAAAATACCGTTGACAAATTCCCAGAGCATTTCTGGGATCCAGCATTTTAGGACAGTATTTCAGGAAGTACTACTCATGGTTTTTAAAATTCATCCCTTGAAAGTTAAACTAATTTCTGTGAAAATAAAGGTCATACCAAAGTTGCTTTAAAAATACCACTTGAGCTTTCTGGGCCTTAAAATAGTATATTTTCTTTTTGTTTGGGTCGCTAGTTCGATTCCCAGTCAGGGCACATGCCTGGGTTGCAGACCAGATCCCCAGTAGGGGGGGCACATGAGAGGCAACCACACATTGATGTTTCTATCTTTTTCTCCCTCCCTCCCTCCCTCTCTAAAAATAAATAAATAAAACCTTTTTTTTTTTTTTTTTTTAGTTTTTTTCTCTTTGTGGAAAGTTCATTAAATGGGACAAAAAAAGCTATTGGTCTTAAAAGGTTTGCAGTAAAGCAGTGATTCTCAATCCTAAGGCATATTAAAATCACTGTAGACCTTTAACAAAAAGATCAAAATCTAGGTGTCATCCCAAATCAATTAAATAGGACTCTGAGAGTGGAGCCTATTGACTACTGTTTTAACAATGCTCAGTGATTCCAATGTGCAGCGGGTACAGAGCACTAAAAGTATGAGACCAACAAGGGTCTTATAAACTAAAAGACAGACAAAAAAAAAAAAAAAAAAAAGGAAAAGAAAAGGAAAAAAAAAAAGGTAGCTGCTGGTAATGGTTTCAAGTATGTTAAAGAAAAATAATTTCTGATTTTTCTCCTTTAGACAAATCTCCAAATCTTAAGTATTTATCATGCTCAGACTAAAGCAAAATAGTATATACAAAGATATAAGAACACCTAATAAATCCAGAATCTAGTTAGTGGACTTTCAATTTTCATAGGTAGGACATTTCTATTTTGTATGTCAATTAACCCCTCCTGACAACACAGGCTGGAGATATATGTTCCAGTCAGTCATCACATACAGAAATGAACTAAAATTACTTAATCTTTTAGAAACAGAATCAATGATTCACAAACTATGGCATTTTATTTCAGAGCCTTTGCTTACATTTATACAATATATTACATAATTCTTCACTGTTTGCAGAACCTAATATATACTTTATAGCTTTTATTCTATAAGCTTTTTCTTCAATGTTTTGCTGTCAACAAATCTTTACAGTCCTGTACAAATTTGAGTAACTTGAAACCATTTTCAACAAAATTAGTTACTGTAAGCACACACTACAAGACTGAAAATGCTTTTCTTAGAAAAGTTGAATGTAAAGGATTCTGACACGTTAGCATCTACAACAAAACGCTTTGAAATTCTCACGTCGTATTGCCAGAAAACAAATAAAACATGCCAGCCCCATTCAAAAAAAGTACACAGAACTACAATTAAAACAGTAAAACAGTCTGTACAGTAAAGTACTGTGTATTAACAGTGCCAGGTATTAAATAGCTTGAATGAACACATCCGCAATATACAAATGTCTTACAAAGGTGTAGAATTAAATACAAGTGCCAAACAGAACAGAGATTGGAATCATACAACATAAAGTCAATACAAGTGAAAACAATTCTGTGTTCATTTTGGATTTTATACAAGGCATTTAATTTTATAGGTCTACCACCCGATTAGCTATTTATACTTAAAATAACAACCATCCTTTTGAGACAGTTTATATCAACAACCTTGAACCATACTAATACAGTTTACTTGTTCCTGAAGTCTTCTTGTTGTAGCTCATAATAAAATAAGCAATACAAATGAATTATCTGTATTTAAGGAAAAGAAACATTTACAAGAAAACACAAAAATATAACTGTTATAATTCATTATGAATAAATATACACTTTGAACTGGCTAAGTACAATCTTTATACATTGTTTAAGATTTAATACAGTTTATTAGCCATTTTCTTTTTTTCACACAATGTATTATATCAAAATTAAAAAAAAATACTGATTTATAGAAAAATGGCAAAGTACAGTAGTTCCATTCCAATTTGAAGGGGTATGAAAAGCCACTGCAAGACCTTTTAGCCTAATTCAAACCTGTAAACATGTTCAGTCTTTTTTAAAGAGAATCTTTAATATTTGGTTACCAGGATTGATGTCTGATATCCTGTTAACTGCAGGTTTTGAAGTTAT